TTCTCACGGTGGCATTTTCCACAAATGAGGAAACTTTCCTTTTTATTCATAATTTTTATTGGATTGGATTTTTCTGATATTGAATATGAAACTCAGTTAGTTTATATGTAATTTGCATCCTTTCAGCTTCTAATAACATTTCTGGTTTCTAACATTTTTTCCTCATCATTTCTGGTTTGACTGGCTCCACTGACTATTTGGTTTAAATCGATTTCGATAGAGAATCACCGAGGCACAGAAGCTTGCGCGATTTAATTTTTAATTTTTAAAGCTCATCAAAAGCAGGAATCGGAGGAATCTGTGATGGCTCGACTTTGTTTGAAGCGGAATATTACTCGACTTTCCTATCCTTGCTTACGTAATGTATATCCTTCAACTGCTTTGGTAATTCTTAAATTCAATTATTCATAATTTTTTGGTACTATGAGATGGACATTCCATTAATTATATCTAAACCGATTCTAAAAATGCCAGACAAAGCAAAAAAATTCCCAATTTATTTTAAACAGATGAAAGTAATTTTCTATCACACTGCAACTAAAATTTCTTAAAAATCTTCAGTCATCACTAAATTTTTATTGGATTTTTCAAAGAACATTGTGAAAATTTGTTGCTTTCATTTAATTACTCAGAAATAATATTAACGCAGAATACAACTGCAAAACGACTCTGTCTAGCAGAATTTCTCAATTGAAATCAGCCATAAATTTACGTTACGTTTGCTTATCGGACTAAAATGGTTATTTTCAATTTTACAGTGGATTATCTAACAGTTAATCTGTTTGATCAGCTAGAAGTGCGTTAAAATTTTCATATGAAAGAAAGGCTTCGGGAAAAAAATATAAAAAACCGATAGTTTAAGAAGCTCATTTCATTGGCTGGTACCTGGAACGAAAAACGGTGCATGCTTTTATAAAAAGAAAAAAGATTCCTACGACGGGAATCTATATTCTAGGTAATTATAAATAATGAATGATCGCTATGCACAGAAACAAATGAAAACGGAGGTCTTCAAGATTTTCGAGATTAATACACAATTCTTTACCATCGAAATGATTGGCTGCTGAGTTGCTGTTCAGTGCAAAAATTCTTGCATTAGTTGTTCTATTTAATATATACAAATAAACTATAACTGCTAGGACATTTTAACCGTTTAATCAATTCTATTTCTTCACTTTGATCGCCACCTTCAATCCACCTTGTCCTATTGCGATATGATTTCATAGTTATTACTCATACAAAAATTTCCATTCATTGCCTAAAGGCAATCGCAAGAATTTGCGTCGATCTTATCTTTTCATTTGAAACGTAAGCATATTAAACCTACCTTTTTTCATAATTTATTTTTTAAATTTTCGTTTATAATTGATAATTGCTTTGCAATGCCACGGCAGGAGGATTCATCACCGAATTCGACCTTTGTCCTTGGCAGAAAGTAACTCTGCTATTGAAAAATCTGAGTGGTGATGTGGACCCACCTGTACTTTCTAGTGACCATATGCATGTCTCGTCTCACTAACAGTGAAGTCCAACGAGCCTAATAGGAAATGGTGATTGCTTACTACTTACCATTTCGTTTTGTTTCATTCTATCTTGATAATTACGAAATATTTTATGAGTCTATTATATACTATTCAAGATTCTTCAAACAGAAAAAAAAGAAATGTTAAAATCGGACAAATATAAGCAAAATGCAATAATTTATTTAATTGAAACTTTTGCTACGATCAGAGATGAATTTAAATTCTTATGATAAAATATGCTCAATTATATGTTGCTCCGGCTGTGGAAGGGTGGGTGCAAGAGGAATGCAACATTACTCTGATCCTGGCTCATATGAAGAGAATAAGGGAAAGAAACTCATTGGATGGTCATTGAAACTTTATCTGCGTCTTTAAACTCATATGATGGAATTTTATTATCACTCTTTTGATTTAAAATGTCTTTGATATCTTTTTTTATATGATTTTTTTCAATCATATTTTCCTTTTAATCATTTCCTTTCACTAAAATAACTAATAAATAACAAATTAAACGAAATAGCTAACTGAAACAAATAATCGTTTAGCAAACTCATTTATTTTATTTGATATTAAATTTATTTACAAAAAGTTTGTTGAAATGTAACACAAGTGAATTTTTTATATTTTATGTTTACATTTAGCAAAAAAAAAATCCAATGTTTAAAAATATTATTTTACGAAATGTAAAAGTAAAAAGTAATAAATCATTAAGCTGAAATTTTTGCAATAATTGTAAATTAATTAATATTGCATAATCAATTAGCATTTCTGGTTAGACTTGCTTTAACAATCAGTAAACTTTCGTTTCGCTAATCATTGGGAGATAAAAGCATAAATGAGTTTCTAGCCTAACCGCACTCTCCAATGAATCCTGCCTGAAGAAGTGGAGGGGCTGTGTAAAGATGCTTGAAATCATGATTTAGGCAACATATCATTCGATTATATTATCCCCATTAATATGTTATAGAAAACATCAAATTAAATTCCGTTGTGACAAATTCTTTCAATAGAAATAGGGCGAATAAACAGTTCAGCAGTATTATTTTCACTCTATTCGATAATTTAAACTCTTTTCATTAATTTTTCAAACTAAAGAAAAAATAGACCACATGTTAGTTTTTTTAAAGTGGTACTTGAAAAAAAAGAAGGCTTGAAGAGTTAAAGGTTTGTAAATTAGATTCAACAGAAAAAAATTTTTTATTAGGCCATCAAAAATTTTAATCATTGGGTTAGTTGGCGAATGGCGATTTAGTTACACAAAGAGGAAGCTGTTTCGTGTTCATCAATTGCTATTTACTCGATATTCAAAAATTCATCTCCGCATTTCTGCCAGTCTCTATCCTTTAGTGCTTTTAAAATCCTTTTTGCCGATGTATAAAATTGTTCATGGAGAAAATAGAATGAATGTTGTTTCACGTTAATTGCTGATAGGCTCAATTTCTGACCAACGATGATAGTAAAAATGCCATCAAAAGTGAAATCCAAGTGATGCTGATCAGGCTCTATCTTTATCATCAAATAAAAGTGATGAGAGCTATTAGACGAAGATGAATATATTTAGATATCAAAAAGACATGAAAAACAATGTGAATTCAAATAATCATTTGGAAGAAAGTAATAAATGAGATTTTTTAAATCATTCGTTTATTCTCGAAGGATTTAGGAAGCAACACTTAAGAGAAAAATATTTCATAAAATTTAAATCGAAAACATGTAAAATTGCAAGAAGAGAATAAAAATATTGATGTATTTACTATGTATCGGCAAAAATACGACAAAATTTAGTGATAAAGGATTATAGACAGAAAAGATTAATATAATTCCTTAGCGAGCGGATTCGGATTTAGCCCAACCATGTTTGTGCGGCCAGGAACAAATCTCTGCAAAAAGGAGGGACGGGTTGCTATTCGAGAACACCTCCCATCTCACATAGTGTACAAATATATTTTATATATATATATATATATATGTATATATACACAGGACAGTGAGAGAGCAAACAAAAGATAGTAGTGTTGGGGCGGGAATTGCTGCTTTTCTTTCTTTATGGTGTCTCTACTAGTAGATTCACTCTGGTTGTGTGCCATTTCGTCTTCTCTCCCTTCACATAGATTATTATTATATTCATCATTTTAAAGTCTTTAAGCGGCAGATTCTACTGCAACTGGTTTTTTCGAGTTTAGCTGAAGCAGGACATTAAGCGAAAAGTTGTGGTCAATGTCCGGGGGTCGAGCACCTCCAGCTCTTTTTCGTTTGGTTGTTGTTGGTGGTGGTGGTGTTGGAAAATCAGCATTAACCATTCAGTTTGTTCAGGCAAGATTTTTAAAATTATTATCTCTTTTCATCTAAAACTCTCGAAATAAAAATAAATATTTGTCATTTTTTATCGCATTATTTAGTTTAGAAGTCCAATTTCAGTATGTTATTATTTAGTTTGTTAGAATGAATTCAGCGACGTCATTAAACTTACTTATTACCCTAACCAAAATTACGATTTTTATTAATTTTTCAGCGAAAAAGGTTAGAGGGATTAGAAAAAATTATAAGCTGGATTTAATTAATTTTAAATTATTTCTTTTCTGTTGTCACATTTCCCTTGAGTGAAGTCCCCTTTGTTTTTAGCCTCGGAATGCCTAAAATAATCGTTTTGGCTGATAAATGCTTCGTTGACTTGGCGTGAAAGATTCGATAACCGTTTTTTGAAAAATTGCTGATTATCATTCATGATCATATTTTTGATTATCCAGTATTTCCTCCATTGCTATGGTTGCTATGGTCGAATAACCGTCACAGACATTATAAAATTTTTCATTTGGATTTCTGTTTAAATCGAATTCTCCTTCGTATTATTACTACTAACCGTAATTGTTAGATTATCATCTCTAGCACTACGATTCTGTCTCTTTCCCTAACTCTCTGGCTTAGTCTTGCACCATCCTTATGTTGAATTATCGAGATTATCTTCTAAGCTTAAGCCATTCAAGCAAATCTGACCATAAGTAATGTTTTTGCTAATCACCAACTAATTGGCTAATCATTTTATCATTAAATGATAAATTGCAAATGATAGATTAAATTACGAAATTTCCCTTTATTAATTTTAAAATGCTATTTTTTTGACACTTTTATTCGAAAATTTAGCGTTTATCATTGATTTTTTTCCCGCTATTATCGAATTTGCTTTTTTCATTGAATTTTTCATCGGTTTTCTACTATTAATGATTGGAAAGCAAAAACGAATAAATAAAATAAATATTCTTTTTGAGAATATTATAAGGAATTATTACCATTTTTAGAGAGATGTTTTTCAAATAAAAAGTTAATATTAGTGCCCACATTTTTGGTTCAGATTCGTTCCGCTGGCTGTTAGTAACTTTAAAAATTTTCATCAAGAAATCATTCGGCCATAAAAATATAAATAGGTAGGGAATCGACTTTTCAGTGCTATAATCTCAATCACTGTAGCTTTTTAGAAGAATGAAAATTATTTTTTATTTTAAAAGGGGCGAATATTTATTATTATTAGCCTTTTTTCAGCGATTTTTCGTTAGTGATTATGATCCAACAATTGAAGATTCTTATATGAAACAATGTTATGTCGATGATGATATTTGTAAACTTGAAGGTAAAATTTATTTCATTTATTCTAATATACTCGCTTAAAAAGAGATTGTCCCACATATTACATTAGTTATTAGTTACTTTAATTAACTAACAGGTTGCACTTAATATGCCAACATTCTTATGAAATAGAGTCTTAAAATATGACTTGTGGAGGCCCCAAAACCGCTTCCGCCAGTCCATGGATTTATCACCGACTGTTTCTAATTTTCAATTATATTATTTCAGATTTATTTTATTACTTCGCTCCTATTAAACAATCCTTATTATTTCACCATGATCATTTGATAACATATTTTAGCGCCATTGCTGATTGCAAGTCTTTAGGCTAAACTGGCCTAAACCTTATCTCCTAAATCTGTATTTTATATTTAATATTTGGAAATTTACAAAATTACTTCTTCATATCACTTTATTAAACCATTTATATTGCTCAGTAATAAAAAATTTCATATTTTGAAACGAATTTTTCGTGAAATCAATTATTTTCTGAAGCATTATTTGTCTGCCATTAATAATTTGAAACTTTTCCAATCATCGGAAGAAGTGAGGTCATCCGAGGTCAAATTGATTAAACTATAAAATTGAATAAAAAGCTTGTTTAAAAATGGAAATATTATTATAGTATTGATCATCAATCGATTATTAATCGTTGCTGATATCATTTTATCACTTTCACTTATATATTTTTTAAATATATTATTTTGCTTTTAATATTATTCAATATAATTTTAAAATTATTTTGCACGATTGACTCAGTCAGTGTTTTTTTAGTGGTTTTATGGCAATTCCACAACTAATTCTTATAAATCTTTCATTTTTATAGTCCATTTTGTTATCATTTTCCTTATCAGAATTAGTTCCGGATTTAATACTTTAGAGTTTTTCGCGTTTTCTGAATAATTTGGTTTATTCAGAGTCCTTTTGTCATCTTTATAGGTATGGTCTAGTGACATGGTTGCTTCGATTTGCATCATATCATAATCGAATATCATAGACTCGACTCCCTGCAAGAGTAAACTCACCGTTAAGAAATCTGGGCAATCTTGGAGAAGTTAACTTAATCAGCAATGCTGTTTTCTTGTTATCTTTACAAGCTACTATGTGGATTCTTGGACCACTTAGTACTAACTCTTTGGTGAAATCGGTATTTCGTAAGATAATCACATATATAATCTGAAAAATGAAAATTTTCGAGAGAAAGTGGAACATTTGACGACTGTTGACAATCCTTTTTTGCGAAAGAAACTTCTCATGACAAAATAACTTCGCTGTTTTTGAGACTTCATTTCTTCACAGTTAAGAGCTAATAAGACAAATTGCGATATATTTCATTAATTTTCTAAGAAAACGAATGCCGAGCAGTCTTTGATTGCCAGTCTTCTATTTTTTAATTCATGTTTTTATTCAAAACTTCGTTGTTTTCATTAGTTTTCCGGTTGATAGTTAAAAAACTGAAATTCACATGGTGCTAGGAGTGCTAGCCATGGTGCTAGCCACTTCTAATTCCATCCTTAGGTAACTCCTTGGCGAAAGGATTTCACCCTAATATCCAGTGGAGACAGCCAGATCAAAAATATTAAGTTCTGATAGAACAAAAGGAGTAACCTTATCTAATCTATCGCTTTAACAACTTAGAAGTTTCGTTTTTGATAAGGCTCATAAACTTATTTTTTAACTTTAACTTAACACTTTCTTCATTTACCCTAATGATGAAAATCTAATTTGTTCAGCGATTAATTTTACTAAGTAGTTCCCATTCCTGTTATTACTATTCATGAATGGATCTCATTTGTATTATAGATGAACAATCAAATTAGCTTATTTTGTATTTTCTAAAACATTTTATTTCTTCAAGAAATGAATTAATCATTTGTTTAATCATTTAGCAAATGAAAACTTTTTATTTAATTTAATTTATGGAAAAAAAATTTTTCGGAAAAGCTTTGGTGTAATGTAAATTTCAGTTTTGGATACAGCAGGTCAAGAAGAGTTTAGTACAATGCGAGAGCAATATCTAAGATCCGGCAGTGGATTTCTCCTTGTTTTTTCTGTTGTCGACCGAAATAGGCAAGTTGATTCGCTTTTTAGTCAACAGATCTCATTTTTCTATGGATAACTTTATTTTCTTTTTTCTCGTCTGAAGATGGTTTGCCGGGTAATTTCTTCGACAAGCATGTATTCTGTTCCTGTCTGTGAATAAACCCATTATTAAAAGTGAAAATGCGAGTATTGTTGGGAAGTCCTCTGTGCTTCGTTCCTTTAGTAGCCTAACCAAAAATGATATATGGCGGTGGAAGAAGATATATGTGGTACTGCGATACCGTGCTCTACCGTTTTCTAGAGAAGAGTCTTTGCAGTGCTATATCGGCGGTTATTATTCATATATTTTCTTTTCTTTCTTCTAGATGATTTTGTTAAATTATTGAATTCCTTCTTAGTATTAATTTGAAAATTTCAGTGTGGAAGATGTTATTCGACTTCATAAAATGATATTACGAGTGAAGGACCGCGATGAATTTCCTATGTTGCTAGTTGGAAATAAAGCAGATCTCGAAAATGAACGACATGTACGCTTTCACGTTTTGCTTTTCAAGCTTTTCAATTTATTTTTAATCAATGATTATGTTTTAATCGAATTTCTCTGCACTTCTCCTCTCATTGATCATTTATCGCTGTTACTATTTATGGATGAATCGAATCACAATCACAGATCCGAAATCCACGAAACTTGGGTAGCTTGGGTAGTAATCCATATTTTTTTATTTCATCTATATCCGCATTGTTTTGTTTTGCTTTCGCTATAAAACAGATTCATTAAACAAAAATGCCAGATTTTATCTTTTAGTATATATATTTAAATGAGGGAAACTCAACTTTTTCTCATTAAATGAATTAGGAAATGTAAAGAATAAAACGCATTAATTACACTGGCAATGCGATTTTATCGTAATAATTTCTGGATTCGTTATACTTATACTTGTCTTTCCGTTGATATTTTCTTCATTAGTTAAATTTAAAGGTCAAGAGGTTCGCAACAGATTAACATTATAACGAATAAGTGGATTGAATGCCTTATTATTACTGAGCATTCTCACTGAAGTGGAAATCAAGATCAGACTGAGAATAATTCAGTCATGAAATCCCATATTTATTATTTATCGTAATGAATTGAGGTAGTTGGTTTAGTGGAATAGAAATGAAGCAGGTTTCGCTGAAATTTAAAACCCTTTTATTGATTTTGGTTTCTGTTCATTTTCTTATTTTCCACTCCAAGCTATATTTTTTCTCGGATTAAAGTGATTTTTTTCTTTGGTGAAATCGGATAGTTTGTAGCAAAATTATAGACGTTTTTACTGTTTGGTCAGTGACGCATGCTTAAACCTTATTTATTTTAAATTGTTTGCCTTATAATTTAATTCTTTTAAATTTTTTTTATTTATCAAATTTGTCCTCAGAAAATAGTGTGAAAATTTTTGAGCAATTTCTTCCAGTTTGAGGATTAATTTCAGGGTTCGTTTTATTCTGTTCTTTTAAATTGGGGGGCAGCTGTGAGGATTTAATAAAGCCCTGATGATTTAATAAGTCCAGCATTCAGCGAATTTTCATCAGTTCATTTGCTTCACTATTTTTTCTCAACACGTCATGAAATTTTCTTATCTTTGGATGGCATAGCTTTCTTTTATGTATCAGTTTTTATGGCCGTTTATTTTATTATGTTTAACTATCATAAATGTCACCAAATCCTTGAAAAGAACTATTCAAACTTTCAATTTCTTATGTAACGAAAACAAATTGAAAGTTTGAACAATTGAGCAGGTAGTAAGCCGGAAATTTTCGCACGAAAATTTTTATATTTTTCTTAGTTTCTATAAATTTCATAGCATGTAATGTATGTATTTCGAGAGAATTAGGAGAGACTAAAAAAATCACTAAGATTACTGAAAAAATTGGCTAAAACCTTAGTTCCATGACAACGAAACTATTTAACTCAATATTTTCGCCAATATTTAAACATTTCGATAAAAAATTAATTAATGGGCCATTTTTTGCTTAAATAATTATTTTTAGTACAAACGGTTTCTATTCGTAAAAACTTGAATTTTCCATGAAACGATTAATTGAAATAACCTTCAATTTTTTTGACATTTCAATTAAATTTTCATAATTAAATTTATAATAAATTTTCGTTGCCAAATATAAAGGGACAAATGTCAATATTAATTACTCTTCTCACCCGCATAGCCAATGGAACCAACCTAAGCAGAAATGGTATGAACTATTAGAAGAAGAAGAAGAAGAAAGGGTAGCAGAAAACCAAATTTTCGTAATTCGATGAAAACTAGTCGTTTTTTATCTCATCACGCAAAATATGTTTAAGGAATTCTCACTTCATTGCATATAATCCAGGATTTTTTACGAACAAAAATTCTCGAAATTCTTTTCATTTTTATTTCAGCTCATAAAGCGCACTAGAAATAACGTACTAGAAATACAATATATTTTTAAAATTTTTTTTAAATTTTTTCAATTGTTAGTTCTTTTTATTTAATTTTTTGGTTGAAAGAAGAAGTAATAATCCTAAAGAGATAAATAATGGGTCAGCATAGCCGAGTGGCTCAGATTGTTTCGAGTGGCAAGAATTCTACTTCTATTTAAAGTTCTATTCTGAAAATTTGAATCCGACTGATGCTGCGATCTTTTTTTTTATTTCTATCGCCAAATGATTTCTTAGCAAAATATTCTAACCGTACTTGCAGTCAGCGGAACGAGGCAGCAAATGTGGTGAGCAATGTGGTTCACTTAGTTATTGGCATAATTAGAGATAATTAACTATAAGAGATGAATAGTTAATCATAGGTATTTCATTATAGGTATTTCTGGATATCCAGGCCAAAGGTTAGAAATTAATTTAATAACCAGTGAATAATTTATTTTCTCAGTGTTTCATTTGCCGTTGCGATTGATAACCCTACAATACAAAAATACAATACTATAGGTAACCAACAAAACACTTGAATTGGCGACTTTGCGATTTAATTAGAGTTTGAGGAATTTCTTTTGTTTGTTAATAGTGTCACCACAATTCCTTGGAATCAATCATATTATTCAATCAGTCGCATCAATGGAATAAAATCTTTATTTTTTTCTAGCAAGGGAAAATATAAAATTTTATAAAAATTTTATTCTAAATTTTAATTTTAATTTTAATTTTATTTTAAAATTTTAAATTTTATTTTTATTTTTTTTGCTCGGAATTTTATATTACCAAATCGACCCCTAACGGCTCTTTGCATTAACTATTTGATTTCTCAGTGCATCTGCTTCAAATGGCTCTCTGGAGAACGGGTCTCACCGTTGTAATTAACTGAGAAATTGGAAATGGTGCGAACTATTAGAAAGAAAACAAAAACTATTCATTCAGATTGTTGAACTTGTTTATTCCTTTTTTATTTTATTTTATTTATTTTAATACATTAAACATGGTAATTAATATCTACGTTAATGGGAATAGAAATTTGGCCATATTTTACCAAATATATAAAATTACGCAATTATTGCCGTGGAAAAAATTTCGAGTTTTAATATTTAATAAATACTTTTCAAAGTTTAAAAATCTTTTTAAAAATTCATGTTTCTGATCTTTTTTTTTAAATTTGGTTCTTTGGAAAATTTGAAAAATAGTTTTTTTACGATTTTTTCAAAGATATTGCAGTAAAATCGTTTTCGTTTTGTTTTTTCGTGCTAAATTCAATAAATTATTGAATTCAAATCTTTTTTCACATAAATTCTTTAAATTTAAAACCTGCAGTGAATCCTATTTGTGATTTGTTGTGTCATTTGTTTCGTTTTTTCGCAGTATTCATTCTATCGATTTTGAAAAAATTTCCCAATAATCTTTTTATTTCGAATTCCTATTTCATAGAAAATATTTCTTTTCAAATTTTCTTGCAGTAAAAAACATTGAAACAGTTCTATTTAGCAATATAAATTTTTTATATTTTTTAATTTTTATTATATATTAATAATCAGTAAATATTTATTAATAATAGAAATATTTTAATTTGGCTAATTTTTGCATTAGCGATTTTATTAAATTTTTACTCAGTTTTATTCGTAAATTGATATTTTGCCTTTCTTTTATAATTACAATTGCGACTGTTAGAGTCCATCCACCTCTATCCTCAGGTGAATGATAATTAATTATCGGGCGAAACGATCTCATTCTAATTTAATTGAAGTAAAAATGTTTATGTCATTAGAAAAATGTTGCATTGCTTTTTTATGTTTCCTTCCAGAGAATTTTCTAACCATCATAATTCGTTTTATTTTTTTTATTTTAGATATGATACAAGAAATCTTTGCTCAGTATCAGTTGTAATTCTTGAGAGTATTTATCGTTTTCTCAATTCAGATTTCACAACAAGAAGGTGAACAATTAGCGAAAAGGTTACATTTGCCGTATGTTGAATGTTCAGCGAAGCGTAGAATGAATGTTGATGAGGCATTTCACGATCTGGTAAGATTAATAAGGTTGGTTCTTTACACATTCAATGTTTGTAATATATATTATGTTTTTTTCAAATATTGGTAGGAAATCACTGAATTTCATATTTCCACTTTTATTACTTTTAGATCGGCTGTTTCGATAAATTTAAATATTTTTCAGTTACATTAAATGGAAAGTAAATTCAATGTTCTGTTAGTACATATTTAGAAATTTTTGCCACGAAGTGGTCAAATAAGGTAGGGAAATTATTGAAGATGAAAATGATGAGGAAATTGATCAGGATTCCTCTGATTAGGGTGATCGAGTTTGATTTACCCAAAATCCTATTAGCAATTATCGTACTCTTTCTAAATATTTATTTGTATAACCTATTAGATTTGAAACTGAATTCAAACTTACCCAATTATTGTTCTTGAATTCTGAAAATAGAATTTGTCAATAGAAAATTATATCGATGATTTTGATCTAACTTTCAAAGGAAGAAGAAAAAGAGTCAGCCATTTGGGGAAAAAATAAGGCAGAGCTATTCCGACTGTTTTCACTTTTCAGCACTTCAGGCGATTAATTTCAGGCGATTTCAACAGCAAGAACGGCAGCCAATGGATGGTGTTGATACAGTTTCATCTCGATATTCAAAAAAGAAAAAGAACTGTAGAATACAATAAGTTGAGCTGACCTCAAGAATTCTTCTCAGGAATTCTTTTTTCTGTGATGCCATTTTCTTGTTCCATTCCTGTTTCATTTCATATGGTAAATTAGTTGTAAATTATTCTAAATTTTCTTTCGTTTTGCTTAGAAGAATGTGTAGAAAGTAAAAAAATGAGAAAGAACGTTTCGCTTTATTATGTACGCAGTCCTGATTGTGTTTTATTTTATATCATCTTTATGGTCTTTTTTGACGACCAATTATTTATTTTTTATTGTTTATTTATTGCTTTATTCTTAATTATCTGTTAACATTTTTCTTTTGGAAAGCACCTTTTGTTTTTTATTTTTTTGAAGTGAAAATCTGTTTAACGAATAAGAAAATAAGGTTATAATGCAATTTTCAGGCTGTTTTATAAAAGAGCAGAATTAATCGAATTAATTTCGTTTTTCATTCTTAACCAATATTACCTACAAAATATAAATATATATATGCAAAGCATTTGTTAAATAATGACAAACAAAATATTCAGCCAATCGGGACAGTTATTATCGAATTTAATAATTGAAAACGAATTCAGCCGCATAACTCAAAACTTATGCAAATTATCGTTTGCGACCAAAATAGAAAGTTCCCGATCTTCAGCACCCGGTGTTTCTTTTCACTATTGGCTTAATACTTTTTTTGTATTTTTTGATTTTGCCCATTCAGCATTTGTTAATAAATGATTAAAAATTTATAAAATAAAAACATAAAATGAATCTGAGGTGATTGGAATGAATGTTATCTTTATGTTTTCCGAAATTGCCTCACTTAATTGGCCAATAAATTTTGGGCAAAATGAAATTTTAATCAAGTGCCCTTGGATTTTAGTTGTCTATATCAAACCGTAAATTATGTATTGTTGGAAATAAACTCCGTTTTAAGTATTAAATTTTTATTGCATGCTTAAAGAAATGGAAACATTTAATTATATTTCTCGATCGAATAAAAGTTATAAAAAAATGTTAATACTACTTTCGCTCTCCTTGAGCCATCAACAAAAGATTGCGGATGATAATAAAAGTTTTATTTTGTCGAATCAATTCACACCTCAAAATTGACAAATAAATGGGAGAGTATTTCAATAAAATTTCTGGCCAATATTTCTTAAAATACCTTTCAAATAGATAAATATTAAACAGGAGAATTAATCGAATTAATTTCGTTTTTTCATTCTTAACCAATATTACCTACAAAATATAAATATATATATATATATATATGCAAAGCATTTGTTAAATAATGGCAAACAAAATAATCAGCCAATCGGGACAGTTATTATCGAATTTAATAATTAAAAACGAATTCAGCCGCATAATTCAAAACAATAAAAAATGAGAAATGAATTTAAAAGGTGATTAACAGCGGATTAATCCAAAAAAAATTTTCCTTTGCACGGCGATAAAACTCATAAATAATACAATAATTATTGGATTGCTTTTTTTGATGAACTCACACTATTTCTGGTTAGGGTTGCTTCGCTGATTGTTAAAAAGGTTGGAAATGCCAGAGAGTCATTTGACGACAGAAGTGTAGGTGGATGGCCAATGCTACTCGAATTATTGGAAATTTCATCTCTGTAACAGAAGGAAAAAGTTTCTTCGGCTGAGCCTCCAAGCATTTTCAAGAGGCTCCGAATTTCACTTTGAATTATATAATTTGTTGCATCATTTTGATCGGAGTAATATCGTAATGAAATGAAATAATTAGATGACGGAGGACATAAAAAAAAATAATCATGATAAATAAGCAGAATATATAAATATATATATTGTAGCAGAGATAAGCAGAATTCACCTAAGCATGTGTAAGCATGGGTCATTGTGCGATAGAAATTAACGCCAGGTCGCAATTAGCAATTTTAGAAAATGGCAACCTAGAGTTACAGTAAAAGACAAAATAGACCCTAAAATTTAAGCAGTCCTTCAGTCGTAAGCTTCGTTGTACTAAGAATATTAGGATATTTTAACAATATTCTTAAGACATTTTACATTTTAAAAATGCAACAAATTTGAAAAAACCACTAAGCAAAAACCGATAATCATTTTCGAAAACAAAGCTGAAAGCTGATGTTTTCACGTATTCGAGAAATTAATAAACTGCAAACAACTGATGAAGTACCATTGAAGTACCATTACCAGTATTTGACATGCAAAATGCACTACTGTTAATTTGTTTTTCCAACTAATGTCAATATTCATAAATTTCAAAACGAAAATTTTTAAATCGTCGGATGCGTAACTTTAGCTTTTGCCTAAATTTTACCAAAAAAAGTGACTCAGAGAAGTATCAATCCGCAGCTAAAGCTATTTTTCTAGCACCATTCACTTGCTCGAACTAAAAAACACTGTGAAATTCATAAATCTCAGTAAATGCCAAAAATAAAGAATTCTAAAGCACTCAACCGAAACGACTCTCGTAAGACACATTGGCTCACAAAACGATACAATGCGATGCGATAGAAACAAAGCGCAGCTGCACTGCTCATATACGTTTTGAAAATACTTAACGACTACATCTGCTATGGCGGATGCGAAGAAAATCGCAGTGATGTAATTCTGGCAAAAGAGGGGATTAACTAAAATTCAACGACCACACAGCATTGCATAATAAAAGTGCATTCATTCGTTGTGCAGTTCATTAAAAAGATCCTTGAAAATGAGAAAACATCAATTATCCACGTTCATCACTGAACTCGATTCTTCTAATTTCGCACAAATATTCAGCCGTAATCAAGAAATGCTTATAAGAACTGCAAATTCAAAATGGACCGTTCTGCACAAATTTAATGTAAATCAAAATCGATTAATAGATATCATGAAGAGCTTAGATCTAAGAGGTCAATGGGTTGTTATCCGATTTCTGTGCATCGCGACGCGCCGATACTGCGATTCTACTCGCAGCAGGAGTAAACTGCAAGTGTTTCGCTGGCAAAATTTGTCTCGTCCGACAAACCCATGTGCCGACCTTATCCTTTTATCGCGGAGTGAAGGCCAAGAAGGGAAATGTTGGATATAGGGAAATTCAGCAGATCCAATAACAAAGGATGTCACAGATAAGACGAAGAGAAATGATAATTCTTTTATACGATTACTTATAAAGCAATTTTAAATTCACATCGAAAAATTTCAGTACTAACAAATTTTAGCACGAAATTCAGCTAAAACGATTCTGAAGCTTAATTGAATTGAATAATGGTGTATGCAAAAAAACCCTACTTCGAGTCTCTACAAATCAGTTTACAATAAAAAGTATACTTTCTGGTAAAAAATATCTTATTTGCCCTTTCAAATTATTTAACCACTCTAATCTAATCGTTGCAGCAAATATATTTATTTGGTATAAATCAGGAAATTAGAATTTAATAGGATTGTAGATTTTTAAATTCACATCGAAAAATTTTAGTACTGACAAATTTTAGCACGGAATTCAGCTAAAATGATTCTGAAGCTTAGTTAAATTGAATAATTTCCAGTTTTAAGGCATATTTTTATTTTTATTAAATTTTCCATTTTCCTCTCGCCATGCTTTTAAATACTGAAAACGAAGCAGCGTGGCAAGCGCTACGTTTTTGCATGTATAACAGTATAAATATTAATAATACTGAAAACATTTTGACAATAATATTGGCATAAATAAAATTCCCAAACAAAAACTGAAAAGGAAGAGAAAGTCACAAATTTAGGTGAGTATGCATTTTAATGCATATAATTCAAAATATTAAAAAAACACTCAAATTCCTTACAGCCTGCATTTCGGTTATTTCTATTAGGCAATATTAGCCAAATGATTTCCATTTTAGAAAAATTATTTAATTTTTTGAAATATCCAGTGAAGTTTAATTGATTATGTTGTTTAGCGAATTGTTTCAGTATTTGATAAGAGTTTTTTTCTGCAAATTGGTTTTAATTATTAAGAAAGTTGTCACTGATTAAATTTCTAAAATATTTTTATGACTATTAGTTAGCATAAACAAAAATTAAAATATTTTGCTGCTGCAAAAGAAATTCTTTTAAGAAAAATATCCGTTATGGCTGAATTATTACTTGTTGAAAATGAGTCTTCACTGGATGTCGTATGTTCCCAATATTTTAGGGAAAATAATGCTTCATATCGTTGGAACAGATGAAAAAAGAAATATATGATTGATCATACCGCGCATTTTACCTCCATTAGTTATAGATATGATTGAAGGATTTAAATAAATATGTTAGATTTGTATAGGCGGAAGAACAATTGAACCATATGTTAACCATTACAGATGAAAAAAGATGGAAAATTCAGTAGATTAGTAAAATCTATCATTTTATATCAATAAAATTTATATCAATAAAACTATCCATTAATAAAATTTATGTTCAGAATTTATTGAAATTTATTTAATTTATTGAAAATTTTCAAAATTTTCTGTTAAATGTATTAAAGATAGCAGAATCATAGGAAACGCATCCATAAGCAGCTTAGATTTTATTTTTAATGACAAACAGATTTCGATAGATTTAAAAGAAATTTCAATTTCTTCTTCACAAATATTAGCAAATCTTTTCGATTGGTAAGCTTCAATTGATAATGGCAAAATAGTATCAGTTGTGCACCTATGAACCTAGATTTAGCCAAAGCCTTTGTTTCCTACAGAAAGTTGCTGACCCTTAACATTTATGGCATTACAGGGGATTTGTATAGCTGTATCAGATTACATAAAAGATCATCACCAACAATTTTCTTATGATATATGTATGTATATGCCAACAACATTCTTTCTAACATAAAATCTGTTAAATCAGACGTTCCTCAATATAGTTCTATTGTGCCATTGCTTTTTTTATTATTAATTAATGATATCACCAAAGTGCTACAAAAATCTACCATTCATCTTTATGTTGATAATTGTAAAATTGTAAAATTGTAAAATTTTTTATTGTCATAGTAGATCGGATAATCAATCTCTCTCTACTACACGATGACCTCAGTAGAATTGCCAACTGGCTATAAAACAAGCAAATTACCCATTATTTTCAAAAGTATGATGTTTTAAATATAAATTCGAAAGGATTCAATCTTCCTGATCTTTTTATAAGACGAGTCTCACATATTTGCGATATTGGCACGAAAATTCTTTACTTCGACCTTCACTGCAGAACCATAATAAAGAATTCCTGAAAAATGCTAAATTTTATTTTTCGTTTATTTAAGAACAAAATTGAAGGTTTTCTTGACTTCCTTCCAATTCGTCGAATTAAACAAGATTTAATTTTTAATTTACGATTTAATTTATATACTTATAAAATTCTATATGAACATCTTAAATTAAATTGTTCAAAATATTAAAATATTTCAAAATATCCAAAACTTAAAATTTTTTTAAAATTAAAAATTTGAATCCAACAAGGTCTAATAGATTAAAATTATTAAAACCTATATTAAATTAAATTAAATGCAAAATTAAATTAAAGACTTATAATTTCTTTATTCGTACTGATAATTACAGGAATAAACTATCGAACGATGTGCACCCCATCCTTGGGTATTTAAAGAAAAAGATTAGATAATATCATTTATGATATTATTATTAACTTCCGATAATTTCAGTTCATATTATGCAGGAAGTTTGAAATCTTGATTTTTACCACTCGATTATATACAAATAGTATAGATTTATTTCGAATTATACTATTTTGATATATTCTTCTCCTTTCTCTCTTTTATTTACCACTTTTTTTATACAACTCCTTTTTATTTCCTCTTTAATTTTTTCTTTTTTTATCATTAATTTTCATCATTTATTATTTTAACTGTTATTACTACAATACACATATTAATACACATAGCGCTTGCCGCCCTGCTCGGTTGGTTTTCAATAAATAAATACAAATACAAATTGTCTTGTAGAAATAGAAATGTTGAATGAATGAATGAATGAATGAATCTGATGCAAACAGCGTACATTGTGCTTAATTGAAATCTTTTATGTCTGAATTGTGTAACATGGATATATAAAAAGAAAAATTGGGAGAAACTGAGAGATTACGATTGACAATGGTTTAGTAAATAAGTTAAAAATGGCCATCTGTAAACCACTGGTTAACCATCCTTCAGACCTTCAAATCTTTGAACTGATGTTTAGCCAAAATGTTTATTAAAAATTCAAAAAATATTAAATAATCAAATAAATTAATTCTTATAATAAATTATTGCATGATCGATAATAAATAGAATTAATAAAAATAACGACAACAAATTAACGATAAAAATAGGAATACAACTAAACAAGGAAACAAATTTATACGAAAATCCTCAAACTATTCTATAAACAAATGAAAATATGTACAAGAAAATACATAGATCAATGATTTTAAAAGATAAATTAGAGAATTAAGCGAACAATTTAGCTAATGTATTCCTTGCTACTTGAATTATATGGTCGGCAGCATTGCCTCTTAATGTCCAAGCAAGTGATCGCAATGAAATACCACGTTCACAGATCGCACGGGGAATATTGACAGGAACAACCGTTTTTCGTGTGTTAACCTTTAAGCATTTTAAGTTTTCATACTTTAAATACTTTAAATACTTTAAAATGTATATTCTCTATCTCTTTTTTTCGAATAGAATTTTGCATCCTATAGAGAATTATAGGAAAAAACCGATTTCCTGGCAGAATTTCTCTTTGAAAAATAAAATTCTCTTTTTTTTGGTATAAAAATAAATGGAAAGTTGAAAGGTTGAAAGTATTGACTTACTTCAAGCATATGAATGACCATTTTGTCCATCATAGTTGAATGACCCCGTTTCCAATTGCCTGGATCATTTCCAAATACCGGTACATAGACATATCTTAAATTTTGCCGGTTAGCACTACATTACCCGTACTCGACACAAAAAAGTACAAGTAGGTCTCCAGCAGGAATAGGAGAATAAAGATTTAAATTTTATAAACAATTCAACAATTATTTATAAACAGTTATATTTATAATTAGTTATTAGTTATAACAGTTATATTTATAATTAGTTATATTTATAAACAATTCAACAATTATTGTTTTTTCTTTAAAATTTCGTATTAATACTGGAAAATGTTCATAAAATCTTATTTTATCCATCAGCAAATATTTTCTTTATTCCTCACCAACGCATAATGATAAATTAATACTTCTCTGTGGCCAGAATCGCTGTGTACATGCCACAGTTTCCTTTTCTATCGTTATTTAAATGGGCTGGTAGATCAACCAACATCACTTCATCTCGGAATTTCTTGTATAATTCAGCATCAAGATTGGCTCGTGTTTCCTTGTCAAGAGTTGGGATAACCAAAATCTAATTTTTCATTTCGTTATTTAAATATTTACTTAATATTCACTGCAACAAAAAATAAAAATAAAAATAAGCAAATAAACATGCTTCAGATATAAGCAAACAAAAGTCGGTCTTATTCATCAAAAAACGATCATTTACGTGGCTTTAAACTCTATTTACTCCTTAATCATACGCCATAGTCTAGACCAATTTAAGTGAGCCAAGATCGACTGCAGCAAAGGCTTTTAATACTTCTTTTCGAAAAATTTAGCCATTTAACTGGTAGCAGCAGAGATAATACAATATTTATATTATACGTAAATTTAAGAATACACCACAGGTTAATATACTTGTTTTGAGGAACCGTGGAGAATTACAAGCTTACTTGGTCATCAACAAATGACATAACATCATCAAGTCGCAAATTTGTCGTATTCAACGGATTTGAGATAACAACAACCTGGATATGAATGTACATTCAGCATAAAAAACCAAGAAAAACATGTAAAACATATCATAAAAGTTTCTGGCCACCTTTAATTAGCATGAATAATTTCCGTTGAATAATATGCCATTTTAACACCATATCAGGTTTAAATGGTTCTATTGGCTATCAAACTTTTTCGTCGTACAGACGGGCTCTCATTGCCAAAATTTTTAATTTAATGGCAGGTTTAATCTTGTGAAAGGTTAATAACCAAACCAACAATGTCGAAGAAACATAGCACAGAACGATCCCTTTCCCAGTGCTGCTTTTCATTAATAAAGAGGAATAAAATAAAATAATAAAGAATAAAGCGAAATTTCCTAGGTCTTCAACCAGAATTCAACCTTTCTAAAGGCGTTGAAAAGTTTGATCATAATAGCCCAATCAGGTAATCGACCTCTGTTTTCCACTAGGACTTTCTGAAATAAGAGACTATAAGGAGATAATCTTCCGAAATAAATTAAAATTTATAATTAACTGTGGAATATTTAGTTATTTTCATTGTAATATATTTTACTGGAGGATTTCACCAGATATATGCAATTATCATCATATTAAAAGTTTCCCTCAAAAATTATCAATCGTATGGCTTCATATACCTCGTCAATAATGGCCTTATTGATACCGTTATCAACAACGTTTGCTGCCGAAAGTATTAATTCGTATTCGCGTTTGTCAATACGCAGTCTGTACTCATCAATAAAACGTCGAATACTCTCGTCGATTTGTCGAGCTGCTATTTCATCCATTCCAGAAGGCCTTTGAAATAGTTAGTTTAAATTTGTTAATGAGTCCAAATTAATTTTGTTTTCTGCTAATCCTGCGAATTCCAATGAATAACGTTAGTTCTTAAAGAAAAATTATTTATTTTCTTAAATTCGACATTCATCGCGTGTCGCTGTTTCTGCAGTGCCCTTTTTCTTTTCGGCCTCAAAACACAGCGAAGAAGCATTTTGTTTCTGAAGCTAATTATAATCCTACTGTGTTCAGCTATAATCCCAAATACTAATATAACATAAATAACGCAGTATTTAGTCGAAATAACAGGAATAAAGGGAGGAGAAAAAGAGATTCGAAAATAAGAAATTGCCTCAGATCTTCACTTCATTATTCATTATTTGAATACAAGAAATAGATTGGAACACAAGAAATAAATTGAAGATTTCGATGAGCTAATAGACATCAATTCGCGCAAATCCAATTTATCCACCAAGAAATTTTCTTGAAAAGCATCGATGCATTGGGTTATAATTTATTTGGACCAAATACCGAGATGATGCAACAAATTATTTGAGACTCATATATCCATCTATCCACGAAATACTCATTAGCATTCACTGATTATCACTGATGAAAAAAGGCTAATCTTCACTGTATCAGCAGAAATAACAGAAATAATGCATAATAATGATGATAATAATGAATAAGTACTGGTCACAATATGAAACCTGTATGAGAATTTGATTAACTGACGAACACCAAACGGAGCAAAATCGCGAATATTGATATCATAAATTGAGGTCTGAATTAAAGCATCTAAAGGAAGTCGGGTTTTCATCGATCGAGAGCGACCATCGAAGTACGGCATCGTATGTTTATCAGCCAAAATCACAACATTATCATGCTCTGCAAAAAAACATATTGAAATGTTGTTATAAAATTGAGAATTCCATCCTTATCAGTGCTCATGAAATTAGTAAAGGAAGACGATAATAGCCGAAGCCATATATCGTGAATTTCTTCGCCTTGTAATTAAAAAATTCTATTCAGGAATTTTTCATTTACTGCATAAATCACATGAAACAAGTTAATCATCTACAAGGAAAAATATTTTTGAAAAATATTGATAAATTAAATATAGTAAGCAAAAGCCAAAAAGAAGCGAAATCACAGAAAAAATATTTTTTCTCATATATATATTAATGATTTTTCCGAGTATTTTCTTGAATTTTTATTTTTTAATTGTTATTTTATGATGATGCAAAAATAGAGAAAAAGAAAAAATCAGCAATAACCAAAGCCCCGGTGGTGATGGAAATCCACTCGTAGTTTACCTACTCTGTTGAGGAAATCTAATAGCAATAGAAATGGGAGATGAAGAAGAAAGTAGGTACTAATGAAATAAGCCGTTAATCGTAAACCACTGACGCAGATCATGAATTTTAGATCGATTTCTTTTTCTTGTATTTTAAAATTAATAAATTTTGTTAATATTTTTTAAAATTACCACATTTTATTAGTATTATGTTAACGCATCGTTATGGAAGTAGAGGGAGAGAAGGAAGAGAAGGATTGATAGGTGCCAAATCTTTGGTTATATTGTACGAATTTAGATTGAGCGATTTAAATTTCTGACAATGAATGAAAGAACGCTAAGAAGGACAGGTTGAAACAGGAACAAATCGCGCAACGATCCGATTAAAGTGAAATGAGACCGGTTGGCGACCTGATTTCATTTAAATCGGCGTTAAGCTCTGTCTTGTAATAATGGTTGAACTGATTTATATTATTCGTTAATTTTACTTACCTGATTGTTCAGCTTGTCTGAGACTCAGAAATTAAGGCGGAAGCAATTAGTTAGTTCAGAGTTTCTTTAAGCAGAGTGAGCCAGAAATAGAGTTCAATAAGAAAACTTACGGTGTATCGTCCGGGCGAGCTCCATTTGGAAGGATATCAGAGTATCGAACATATCTTGATAGTTATCATCCCTGCAATTTAGTAATCTCAGTAATTAGGCTAAGGAAAATGCAAGAAAGAAGATTCCAAATAGATTTCAAATTTTTCCAATTTGCTTTAATTTAATTTAATTTTCTTTTTAAAAAACATATAACACTTATTATTTCAGTTTATTCTCGAAGTGCGAAACACCATTTATCCTAACAAACTTTGACCGGTCAATCTAGTATAAAGTACGAGCTACTGCTGCGTCTAATTTTTGGCACCATAAAATTCCTACTTTATTTTTACCACGAAAATTAAATAATTTATATCATAGATAATCAAGAGGCGATTATATAAACAAGTACTAACAACCACTGATTGTGACGCGAAAACTGGATTAATTTTTCGCTATGAAAGGGAAAACTGATTATATAGTCAAAATGCGACGGCTAGTTGACCTAACTGAAGAATCACCCGAAGGCCAACCATTAAAGCAAAGTTTTTACGATCCGTATAATGCTGGGGAATTTATTTGAAAGTGAACAAATATTTAGAAATATCAAAAAAAGGGTTTAAAATTTCTTGCAAAATTGTAATTTTAGGCATTCGTTAAGCTTTCAGGGATAAATCATATTTTCTAAAATAATAACGCAAAGCTCGGTGATAACATTGATTTAAAATTCATTTAATAAAAAAATTGGATTTATCGATGAACTCTTTAAATAAATCCAGCTACCCATTTGAACACAAAATTCGTATAATGCTGGGGACTTTCGTATAATAAACATGCGTGTGGCAGATGATACATTTAGATAAAAGTATGCTATTATGCAAATAAAAGCCAAAATTAATATCTCATAACTGTAACTGTAACCCAGCATTTGAATATTCTAGGTGCAAGTGCCATTATTTGGCTAAGAACAATAATGTTTAGTAAAAAGAGAAGTAGGAGTTGAGGCGATGCTTTATTTGATTAAAAATTTCAGCAAATAAAACTAATTAATCTAAGAAAATTAATTTATTAGATAAAAACATAGTGCACTTATAAGTGCCAATAAGCTTATAAGTACCAATCCACTGCAATTGCGTAACTATTGCGAAAAACAAAACGAGCTTGTTAGGAAATAAAAATCTTATGATCGAGAATGATACTATATCCAAGTTCTCATCTTTATCAATAATTAATAATACTATTAATAATATAATGCTATAAAGGAAGAAATTAGGCGTAAATAACTTCAATTTAATCAACCATTTAACTCAAATATTGAAAGTTTGTACCATACAGACGGTGCAGATAAAACAATGAGGGTTCGATCATGGTGGTTTCGATTGAAAAATTCGGCTTGAATATCTAACGGATAGAAAAGAAATAGAAAGAAATACATGTCGATGAAGCCAATTTTCCAAAATGACCATCGTCCAGCTATTTATATTTTCTCACTCTGAACCGGATATGACCTCCATAATCCAAAAAGGCGGGGTCAATCAACAGCAATAATTTGCTTGTTTTCCCAAGAACTGGCATTATGTTCAACATGCTGAATGCCGAAATGCCCTGTGGCGAGATTTGCCTTATAGCAGGTCACCAAACTAAACATTTCTGGATTTAATAAACTGGTTTCGGACTCGATCAGGTCTTTATCAAGGGTAAATGCGCTTGCAATAATGCCATTTCTTATTGCCGCTAGACTTTAACATAGAAGTAAAAAATCTATCTCTATTAATTGATATAATTTTATGAAAAAACTGTAAAATAGTATTCTTTTTATCAGGATTTGAACATTTTCGCAAAATCTTTCGAATAACTGCAATAAACGGCTGTGCTATTTCTTTGCTTAGATAAGTGTTTCTGTTGGGAATACTATTTGCTGGAATAAATTGCCTTCTGAAATGTTATGAAAGTGATTGTGTGATGATAAAAAGCCTGATTTTATCAACAATTTTATAAATATCTGTGGATAATTAAAATACATTATGGATTCTATGTTAATAAAAGAAAAAATAAAAATATATCAAGAACAAAATAAACAAAATTGCGATTATAAAAAAAATTTTCCAATTATAGAACTGAAACAAAATGACTATAAAAAAGATTTTGGACAAATTTCAGAATGAATATGCTTGTTTATTAACAGAAATTTCCAAAAATAATTCCATTAAAATTAAAACATTTTATAAGGCGAAAGTATATGTCTAGGATCAAAAAATGTCTTTAGTTCTTTTGATAACCGTAAACAAGTAGACATCTTACCGAATACCATGTAAGGTTTTTTTAAACGACCTATTCCATGCTCCGCACTAATACTTCCGCCATGTTTAACTACCCATTCATAAAGAAATGGATACAACCTGAAAAAATCAAACTGAATTGATCGAAAAAAAATTGAAACTGAAATTGAAATGAAACTGAAATTCAAAAATTGAAACCCCTACCTGTTATAAATTTCTTCCTTATATTCGCTGCTAGTCACATTTAAATGCAAATTTCCATCACCCATATGGCCGAAGGCAACCACTCGAGTGGCTTGACTTTTCACTTTTTCCCTTATAACTTCAGTTATTTTATAAAAATATTCTAGAGGTAGCGATATATCGTGTTTATAGACATAACCATCGCGCATAAGTGAAAGTGAAATAGTTTCTCTAAGTTTCCATATATAATCGATTTCTTCAATACTCTTAGCCTAAAAATTAAAATTATTTTTTCTTAATTGTACTAAATTATATTATTTGACATATATAAGAATAGTGTGGAATGCCGGTGCAAGACCGCTACTTCTACGCAAGAAAATTTAAACTGGGGATGTACTATGAGCTTAATTTATAATTAAAACACTTTGAAATAGCCTTATAAAATTTTTATTATCTATGAATGACATGAATACAAACAAAATTACAAATTACTTGAATTCCATCAATAGCTAAATTTTTGTCAAGAACTTCATTTAGAAATCGATCCATTTTTTGATGATCGTGCTCTTCATCAGAACCTGAAAAATTTAAATATATTAAATATGCATAATTTTCAAAAGATATACCAAAATCACACTTTTGGTCAAAAAGAATTTTGTCTAATATTTCGATTTAAAAGATACAATACTGCCTGAAATAAATGCTATAAAATAATCTAAATTAAATCGTACTTTTACAATCTAAATAAATTATACAAAATCGAAATTTAAAAGTAGAAAAAATCATTTATTAAATAATAGTCAGGACCAAGAGTCTCGATAAGAATAGTAAATGGCGGATCAGAACAGAAGACATTCTGTAATGATTCATTATCACGAAGACTTTTCATAGAATCCAAATCCATTAATTCAAAGGCTGAAAGAATCTCACCGAGATACTTTCGAGCGTTTGATAAAATTTGGCAACAGTCAGCGAAATTCATTACACCTGGAAATAAATAATCATATTTGTGCCTAAAAATACATTTTTAAACATTTGATTTTTGCATAGATGACATAGAATCAAAAGGGAGATGGGCCAATCAAGACCCGTATTAATACAGTCAGGAAATATTGGAAGATTTTAAATTTATAGGGGAACCAGCGATATATATGGACTTAGACGTGGAAAAAGGACTGGATCATCCGATGGCACCCGATAAAGCAGCTTGGAAACGTTTTATCTTGTAGTCAGCGCAATCAGCCTAACCAGTAATGATGAAAGCTTGAAGAAAAAGCGAGTTGATAATCGAAAAAAATGAACTACAGGGAATACGACGTGGGTCGAGCAGCATATTGTTCCGACTAAGATCTCTACGTTCCTTGGTGGAGCAAATTTAAAAGAGAAATAATCTTATTCTAAATAATTAAAAACAATGTGCAAGTTGGGAAACCTAGCATAGCAACTTGTGTGATGGCCGGTTTAATTACGGCACCCAGTGAAACACGAGTAATCACACCAAGTTGACCTTCAGACCCGACAAAAAGATGATGAATGTGAAGGTTCGTATTGTCTTTTCGTAATTTCCTCCCAAAATTGACTATCGAGCCATTCTTATCAGGCAATACCTATTAAAACAAAAAATGAGAAATACAAAAAAAATTTTAAATGCTCATCAATTCTAGGCTGTTAATCTAGATTGATCAGACTTAGGCACATATTTAATCAAATGACTCATTAATCACCAGAGAATGACTGATGAATACTATAAAAAATATAAAATTTCAAGAAGTTCTTAATATTTATTCTTTTTCTAATATTCTTAATATTCTTAATATTTTATTCAGGAAGTAAATCTGTAATAAACTGCTCACTGCTGACAAATCTCCAAGGAATTTTTTATATATAGCAAAAATTCAGAGCCAATCAAATATATACTAGATGAGTGAATTTTAAGAATTGTCAAAGTTTTATTCATCTTTTTCTGTTCACATCAAAGAAAGTTTTTTCTTGATTGGCAAGGTTGATGATTGATAAGGTAAGTGAAGCCCAGATAATGGTTGCGAAAATTTATAGGAGAAAAAAAGCATTAGATGTTAAAAATTTTAAAGAAAATCATTCGGCAATTGGGTTACGGACACAGGGTCAACAAATGAAAACCGGCGTGACAAGATATATAAGAAATGAACCATATGACCCCGCAAAACTGCCTATTTATATTGTAATTTCTCTAGGTTTTATCACATTATCCACGAATAAAATGAAAATGATAGCCTAACAAATGCGATAGGTCAAAGCAAATATTTGAAAGAAGACTAAAGGAAAAATGATATAGTTAACTAGTGACATTTTAAATTGCCATCTTAAAATCACAGAAATCAATGTGCAATGGAATACGACAATATTACTGCACCTCCTCAGGGATTAATTCAATCCATGTCCTATAATGCGAATAATATTAGGAGAGAAACCACAGTGGTCTGGAGGACCCATCTGCAATTATATTTCCAACATGTTTCCTTAAGAAAAGAAATAATTAAATGCGGTAAAATATATTTGATAGTATCAAAAAATACGAAGGTTCTGCGATATCAAAATGGTCAATTCATAAAATCAGATTTCTATTTAAGGTTGCACATGCCACACACACAATAAGTAAGACGAATTATTACACGGATTAGTAATTCAACTCCGAATTGCGTAATATTCGTTTAATATCTTCCCTGTTTATTTGTTACAGCCTAATAACACTCGTTCAATCACACTATTACGACAGAAGTGACTTAATCACTGGCTGTTTAATTTTTATATAAATTATATAACGTTTTCAGACTGTAAGGAGGAGACATAAGTGTTAAGGAATTACAACATGTGAATATTACGATATATTTCGAAATATTTTTTAGTTGAACAAGTCCCAAAATATATATTTTTGTCGTGTTCCATTAAAAAGCCAGTAAAATGACCCCTTTTGAACATATATTATGACCGAACTTCTTTATTCGGAAAATTATAATTCTTAAAACATGACCCAAATACAAATATTGGTCATGAAAAATTGACCTTTCGGCATTTCACATACATAGGAGCATTGAATAATTGACCTCGAGGCCATTAACATTTTTACGCGCAGAACCAGTCTAAACAAAGCAAACGAGTTTTTAAAATAAATTTCGTTAGCTAATTTAAAATTTCATAGATCCGGTAATTAAGAAACCACCTTTTCCATGTTAATTCACAGAAATGATGCAAAAACTGGCAAAAAAATTTAAAACAAAAGAATTCTAGATAGTTGTTTTCATTCAGATTCCTCGTCCAGAAAAACTCCTCAGATCCAAAAATTCATCAATAAGTAATTAGATTCTTTCTCATTCGTAACGTTAACTGTTGGAATAAATTGTCCATTGTTACTTTTATGCATCAATAAATTCAAAGATAAATTAATTTAACTAATTATCCACGATATTATTCAGCATAAAGTCATGATCAATCCATTTTCTTTATTGGAATAAATAGTTCCCTATTATAACAATTCACTTTTTTTTTTTTCATCATTTTATAAATATTATATTTAAATATCATATTACATTTATGTTCCTGCTGTTATCTATAAGTGCAGAAAAATTTCCATTTTTCTTGATTTTTTAGATAAACAATTAACGGAAAGCTAGATCGTACTATATCCAGAAAATAATTAATAGTTTTAAAATCACTGTATATTTGTTCACATGCACAATGCAAAAAAGCAAACCACTTCTAAACCCAAAAGATAACTGTGAATAGGACCAAATCGCATAAATCTAATTCCTCCAGCAGCTGTTGAAAGATTACCTCCAACCATGCATGATCCTTTCGCGCCAAGATCATACGGCATCATATAATTATATGCAATTAGTTTCTCGTTTATATGTTCGAGAATAAATCCCGCATCACAATCCAGTAGACCTAAATTATAATTTATATAAATGCATATGAAAACAATACTTTGCAGGAGGGAATTTTTCAAATTACATGATAGTTTAAAAATAATTTCAATGGTATTTGAAGAAACGAAAAATAATTTGATTGCAAATTAATTTAAATGAATATTGAGTGGCGATTTTTTTCAAAATTAATTGGCCAATGGTCCTTTCCTTTGGTAGAAAATAAATTTATCACTGTCACTGAACATGTAATCCGTGAAGTGCTGGAGCATATCTGGCATATTATCTCCAAGTTTGCCTTGATAAAAACTCTTTAATTGTCAATTTTTTTTTCTTTTTTAAGAATCCTCACCATTACTGGTTAAACTTGCTCCACTGGTTTGTCTCAATTGGACAATATGCGCCTTGGCGATAGAAATACAGGGTCACCAGCATTACCCGGATTTTTATACAGGTTTACTCAGAGAATCGAATCAGCATCGGTGCTTCCAAGTGAGCAACAACATATTTGAGCTTTTAAATGTTAGTTTTTAAATGCAACAAATTAAACCAAAAAGAGAGAATATTAGGAAAATAAGCTAAAATTAATAAAAAAAATTGTAAATTAAACCGAAAGAAATATTTAAAATTTAGAATCAGATAAAATTAATTACCTGATTGTGGATCAAAATCGAAAATTTTCTTGACTTTCGATAATGATAGTATAATTTCATCATAAACAGGAACAGAACCTCCAACTAAACCAGTGTTACCACTTTGTGGCACGATAGCAAGTCGTCGTTCGTAACAATGTCTTATAATCTCCGATACCTCATGGACATTTGTTGGCATTAGTACGCATTTCGATGAACCTAAAAAATCAAAAACAAGTCGAGAATCAATTTGGTAAATCCAAAAGATGGTTTCCTACATAGCGATAAAATTTTTGTAATTTGTTAAATACTCCTGTATTTACTCGCTATAAATCGATATTGCAATTCATTTCTGCAGTATATGTTTTCTAATATGTGACACCAAATTTCGTATTTCGTATTTATGTATTGGTATTTGCACACCAATACGTAAATTTTTGATATATTGATATAATTTTTGATATTGCAATGTGAACTAAATTTTTTATGCAGATTTTTTAAAATTTATATGTAATGTATTATGCATATATTACAAAACATTTCACTTTAAAGTGCATTTTGCACTATCCAAATTATTTACAGTTTATCGCAGATGTAGTAGCGTCTACTGGCTCTATATTATTGTGGCGTCGAAGAAAATTAACTCCACTGATCCTTTTTTCAATAAACGTAAAAAACAATATATAATATATATATATATATAATGAATTCTATATTATGCAGTAAAAGGCCACCAACAAGGCATAATTCATGTAAAACGAATTAAAATTAACCTTTGTAGTGCTTCATCCAGTCAGTATTATAAGCATCAATACCAGTAGTGCATACTGCTGTTCTCCCTACAATCCGCTCGAAGTGTGATAAATCTTTATCAGTTAAAACTGAAAAATCACCACGGGGTGGTAGATAAGAACTGAACAAGCGCGCATTTGCACTGGTATGAACCAAAATCCGAGTATAAATCCGAGTATTTATCACACGATAGCCAAGAAAAAACATTTGCAGTTTTAAGCATCTGAAGAGTTCGCAATTTTGGCACAAAACCACAAAAAACTCTTGGAACCATAAATTTTCTCAGTTACCAGTTTCTAGATTACCATTCTTTTTCATCAAAGAATTAAAATAAAATATTGCACTGCACTATTTAACACAAAAAAAGCAAAAAAACTGGAGAAAACTAAATCAAAATTTATTCCAATGGGCAAAAAAGAAAAAAACAATATACGATAAATATATGTACTTCCTATACATTTATATACGTTTATCAATGAATAAAACTAAAATCCTTAACAAATCCTCGCTAAAAAACAAATATCTTAACTTTAGTTTTACCTCATAAACCGGAAAAAATTCCATTTTCTTCAATCGAAAATTCATAGTTTAAATGGTCCATAGTGGAAAATCGAAGAGGAAATTATCCATAAAAACTTCACTGAAGAAAACTTTTCATTAAGAAGAGAATATTCTTTTATATTAAATTCCCCATTTTTTGAAAAATTCGCCTATTTCAATTTAAAAAATTTCATGTATAACTTATGTAAAGTAAAACAATCAGTTTTAAAATCACGATTTAAAATTAATTAAAATTACAATAGTAGTGAGACGGCAGATTTGATTAAAGAATAGAAAAATTAAGATATAACAGAAAAACTGTAAAAATGAATCATAGCGATGTTCGTGAAGAACCATTTTGATCCTTTCCACAACACACCTTATTAAATCTGTCGATTCAATTCAATATAATTTATTCGTAATCGACAAGAAGATCAGCTAGATGCTCATTGTGAACTTTTTGATTCACTCGTCGTTTTGCGATTTTCCTCTTTGGAGGAGCAAAAATTTTCTTTGATGGTGCCACATTTTTTACAGCATCAATTCCATGTTTTTGCAGGTATTCCTCAATTTTCTTCTCATCCAGATGGTCGACCGATGCATTTCGCCATAAGCTTTTGAATGCTACAAAAAAATGAAATAATAATTGAAAAAAAAATGATTGAGCAACCGATTTATAGCATTTTACGAGTCGAAATTTCAAATTCAAAACACCTTTTAGAGAATAATGAATAAAAGCCTAAAAAAATAAAAAGTATAAAATCAAGTGTAATATAAAAAATATATTAAAATTATGATTAAAACAGACCATCATCTATTACATAATCCGTTTCTGTATCATTGAAAAAATATACATGATCTTTTCGTTTGTTTATTACAGTTAACACGTCAATTACTGCATTGCCTAGAGCCTTAAATTTTTCAATTTTACAATAATTACCGAAATTTATTAGAAAATGCAATGCAAAAACTCTCGCGAACGAAAGATGCAATCTAATTATTTTATGTACATAGCGAAATATAAAATAAAAAATAAATAAAAGACTGTTAAAACCTGTTGATATATAGATTAAGCACTATATGGCTATATATAATTAATTAATTAATTTTCTCATAAGATAATTTCACCTCAACATGCTTATCCGCAGCTGGCACACACTCATTGAGATCGGAAAGAAGAATACCACCTTTTCCTTCAAGATGATACTTTTTTAATAGCATCAGCAATGAATTTTTTCCTCTTACTTTATACGGTGGTTTAAACAGGAATTTTCCATTTTCATCCACCATTAAACGAGGATTTGACGGCAAAGCCTAAATAATATACGGATATTTTAAATAAATAAAAGCAAAGAAAAATTTTATCTAAGTTTTTACTTCTTCATAGCTATTTTTTACCTTCCGATTTCTAGAAAAGCAACGAAAATTACTTAAATTTGAAAGATTCAAAGGAACATGCCTCCTGTAACCAGGCTTCAGTTTTCTTTCCAAGATCATAAATTTGAAGTTCTTCAAGAATCTCTGGCAGGCTTAATGACCAATGTTGAGCGCTTAAATGACGTTTCTAAAAAACTTTGATAATAACAATCGCGGAAAACGCGATAGAAAATTTTTAGACTTCAGTTTTTTAGACTTTAATTTCATTCAATGACAAATAAAAAAAATCACTTTCATATAATCAACGATTTTAGCCATAGTTCCAAAATTTGCAGCATTTGAAGCTGAATGTGCCGTTTTATAATTGAATTCACTTATTGCTGCAATGAAAATATAAATTATCAACTAGACTTCAATTCATTAACATAAAAAATAATGGAAAAACCAAATTTAAAACAAATGACTCGAAAATAATATACATTTAGCTGCAAGCTGAGGATCTGATATCGGTTTCTTTTTCTTCTTTCTGCTACTTTCAGCACTAAAACACAAACTAAATAATATAATTAAAATTAAATATATTAATTAAAAATATTAATATATTGAACTTTTTAAAATCATAAAAACAGAAATTTGAAAAAAAAACTCAAGAAAAATTAGTTTCCCCTAAAAAGTGGCAAAAATGCAATTAAAACATGTTGCTTTTTTCGATTGTCTTTCTTCTTCCCATGTTTTTTTTAGGAATAAAAATAAATTTCTCGAACGAAATGAAGTTTTATCCACAAGAAAATTATTTTTTGAAATTTTGTATTCAAATTTCGAAAAGATGATAATCTGATAAACTTCAATTCACGAACACCTCGTCGGCTGAATTTAAACCGCTATACTGTTTCTGAAACGAGTTTCTTAAAAAACCTGGGAAAAGCAAAAAACTCACTCATATGTAGTGTGGGATGTAGATGGAAAATCACGTTTGGCGTCAAATACTTGAGTTGCACGCTGCTTGAACGACAACTGTTGCTTCAGAAGTGTTGGATCCATAATAGTTTTATGCCAGATACCAAGTTCCTTTCTATTAACGTAAAAAAATACCGTGATCTGGAAATCGTTTTAGGACAAAAATTTTATTTATAAATTTTGAAACCTGATATTTTTATTTTTGTCGTTCTACAAACGATAATTCCAAAAAATGTTTTGATTTTGCTAAAGAATGGAGAAAGCACATTATATGCAGACCTTGTAATTCCATGTTCGCGATGTTAGGTGCTCAGGAAATCTGCAAAAAGGACGGAAGGATGATGGAGAACATGTTGGCACCCTTATTTTAGGAGAGTTGTATGGTGTATGTGGATGAGTGTTTAGTATAAGTTGTGGCTTATCATTATTTTTTATTGTTAAATTATTAATTGTTATGACTAATTATTATTGTTGTTATTATTACTAATTATTGCTATTACCATTGTATTATTATTATTATTCATCATTATTATTATTTCTAATTTTATAACTTTTATTGTTCTCGCATTGTTCTTAACGAATAACGAATTAAAGAATTTCCATTGTTTAAATTTTCAGAAAAATTCACCGCATATTTAATTTTTTTGAAAAAAAAGAGAGGAAATAAGAAAATTCCTTATGATTTTACCAAAAATTCTTTTTTTACCACTTACACTGAATAAATAATGAAATCCAATGTTAAATTTTATAACTTTAAGTTATCGAAAGAATCCTTTAAAAAACAGTCTACAGCAATTTATTTTTTGTACGTATATATATATATATATATATAGACTAGAAAGTACATCTTATAAGGAATGTCCCCATAGAGGAATAATTTTTAAGGACTGAGCTAATTTTTCTGTATCGATGGCCTAGTGGCAATAGTTGCCAATGTTATATGTACCAAACCCAAATTATTGCGGGTTTTGTCTCGCAATATTTACGACTAAAGGGATAGGATGGCTCAGTGGATTGTTGCCCAATTGGGAGCGCCGATGCTGAGGTTCGGTCCCCGGCAGGAGTAAACCTGCACAAAAACCCAGGTGATGCTGGCGACTCACCTGTATTTCTATCGCCAAGGGATTCCATGGCATATTGCCCAATGCGACAAGTCGGGCGAGTTTAACCAGTAATGGTGAGGACTCTTAAAAAAAAAAAACTTATGGCAAAAACTAATCGTTAACTTATAAAAATGCGAGAGTAATTAATCAGTATTTTATTAGTACTGCAATGGCAACCAAAACGGCACCTATAGCAACTAACAGTCAAACTAACAATATTGCAATTTCCGTCCGAGATGATACACACCTTAAGCGTGACATACTACCAAAGAGCCGAATATATTTGCACTATTTACTTACAAACACTAAACACCAATGTTCACATCAGGCTAATTGGTGAAATTTCACTCTGGATATGATCAAAGACAAAAATTTGGAAAGTGAAAGGAAATCGCTGTGTTATGTTCTGAGCGCGTTGAATATATTTTATGTTATAGGGTTCATATATTGCAAAACTATAATAAATATTTGAATCCCAAATCTTCTGTATTCAGGCATTTCTCGACATCGAAAATAGCTCGGGTTCTAGCCACACATAATACTTTGTCTCACGGTAGTGTCGCTGAAAAGCGAAAGCAATAGGGAGCTCCAAATGGGAGAAACCTGCGCTTCATCCATACTTCTGTCATTTGATAACTCCTCGGCAGAAAATTATTTGGGCCGATAGGGAAGTTATGAGTACTCTTAGAAAAAAAAGATGTACAGCCAATAGCAGGGACCAGATTACCTTCAACGACAGGTTTGAGATGGCCGGACCGATTATACTACGTGCCCTGCGCAATATACCACACCCAACTTTTTTCATTGAGCCTGTATTTTTCTGCAAATTGCTAAACAAATTTTTCACATCTTGCCAATAGGAAACGAAGAAAATCTTCCTGAAAGCTGCGTTTCTGCCCTATACGAATGCCCTTTCCTATGAACCTTTATTTCAAACAGCAACAAGTAAATAATAATACAATAGCCAACAGCACTCAGCACTTCATTTTTGCTTTAAGTATATTTCATGAAAATAAAATTCAGTCAAAATTTAAAAAAAGGAACGAAAATACTAGGGTCAATGCACTATAAAATCGCGCAATATTAATACTAGTTATAGCAATATTTTCCTCAATACAAGTACAGTAAGAATATTCATACTCACATAAGAAACCCTCTTGCAGCTGGTTTGGCTGGCCACACTGATTGTTACGATGAGACTGCAAGAGAGTCACTTGAGCAGTAGCAGACTGTTTGACTTAAAAAATGCAACAGAAATAATATTATAATTTTCCAAAATCAAAAAATAATTGGGTTTAGCCGATAGGATTTAAAGAGCTTTAAAAATTGCATGCAACATAATATAATCATAGTTATTACAAATCTTTCATAATGAAAACTCTACAAATGGAAAAAATAGTGCTTTTCAGTAGAAATTATTCAGCTGAGTCAATTTATTTTATACTATTTCTCGAATAATTTAAGAACAAAAATTTTAAACTCAAAATCTAAGTCGTCGTTTGCGTTGCATCAACCACGAAAGCTGGTAAATGGTAAGCGCTTTATATTATTAGCATTAATGGTTAACATTCTATTTCTAATCCTGGGCTGTAGGATAAGAGACAGCTTCGCAAGAGGGCCGTTTGGCGGTATAAATAAGAATGAGCCTACGACACCAACAAAATTGGCATTATGATTAATTTCGTGATTAGATAAGTATTAAGAACATTATTTCATTATTATGAATATTTCTTTAATTTAACATCGCAGATATTAAACTTAAACTTTAAACTTCATTTTAAAATACATATCAATATGGAAAAATAAAATAAAATTAAGAGTGGAAGACAGCTCTATTGGCGAGGAATTGTTGCCGGCGTTCCTTCTTCTCGAATTCAGCTTGTCTCTTCTCTTCACGTTCCGCTCTGATTTCCTCTTCGAATTTGCTTAATTTCGATAATTCCTCAATCTAAATAATTGAAGTAAATTAATAAAAGTAAATCGCGTTTACACCAATTCCAGTTTAAAGAATTATTTAAAAAAAAAAAAAAACAAAAGAAATCATGAGCAACTATAAATAAAATTTCCTAGCAGGAAAATGAATTTTTAATAATGAAAAACAAAGAAATAGTAATTATTAGCAATTAGGAACTATTTCACGAAACATTAGAAAAAATTATGATAAAATTTGACTAAGAGCTGGAATTCACAACCAGTAAGTAGTTTTGGGAACAACATATCTCAGTGGGAAATTAACCTTAGCTTGAAAGAAATTAGCAGCAGCTTGGACTCCTTCCTTAGCGACATCAACTGATAAAGCAAGCTCATTGAAGACATTTGAACACATCAGTCGATTTGTCAATGAGTAACGAAAAATCAACAAAAATTCCCGCAGACAAATTTTACCATCTTCATCCTCATCTACCTAAAAAAAATACGGAATCTTATTTCAGTACCAAAATTTACGAACAGCAAAAATCCAACCGGAATCATATGCATCATGCTTATAGAAAAGCTAGAAACATTGCATAATATCATTAGAATGGAAAACTATAAAATAACTTAGACTGCACATGTTCAATTTAATTTTATCTAGGCGAAATCGAGAAATCGGTAAAGGTTACAAGTTTATCAACATCGAAATGGCATATTTTGAAAAAAAGTGGTATTGGCAACAATTTCTATTTCTAGTTTTAATGATTTCCAGATTTAACTGTTATGACAAGTTTTTTTGCAAAAAAATTCACTTGGAGGCAAGATATAAGGCAGATTCTTAATATTATTAGAATTTCGTTTTTGATGGCTGATTCTTGATTCCTATCTGAGTATAAAAATTGGGCAGAAGATATCTGACAGCATGACTGGTTACCTAGCTCGATAGAATTTCGATCAAATCAGATGGATTGAAATGATACCATTTTAAGGATTTGTTTAAGTGTAATGTGAGTTTGCGCCTCTCCAAGTTTTTCCATCATTCTTTTCAGTTCATTGAAATCGATGAATGAATCTCCATCTTCATCGAACCTTGAAATGTTCAGAAAAGATATTCGGACAATAAATGGTTGCATGAATTGCAAAATTCTTATGAAATCAGCAAATTGCTTGGTCGAAGCAATTTGGAAGGAATTTAAACTTATAAAATCAATAATAGTAATAATAAAAATAGTAAATTTCTATTTATGCATGACTACAGAAATAAAAAGCTAACTTTTTAAATGTTTCGATGAAATATTTGATCTGCTTTCTAGAAAACTCGCTGAATTCTGCGTATATGCTCGGATGTCGAGCCACAACTGCGTCAACTGTTTCACCTTAATTTGCATAAACCGAGAAATTAAATTTATAATTAAATTAACAAAAATGAATAATTTATAGATTTATCAAAAGAAATGAATATAAATAATTTGAGAAGAGCTAGAGGATTGCTACTTTTCCCTTTATATTTTTTAGAATTCTGACGAGACTCATGAGACTCATTATTTGTGGTTTGACTGGTTCTTACCATTTCGGTTGGCTTCTTTGGCTTTATCCGCCACAAAATACCACTATTTTCTCCTTGTCTAACATACAAGCATAAGAATCAAGTTTATTATAAAACTTTTCAAATTCTTAGGAGAAATTTCCATTTAATTGAGGTAGCCATATTTAAGAAAAAATCTAAATAAAGGAATCTTGAAATGGAAAAGAAATTTACACAGATTCACAATGTCTTGTTTTATGCAAATGACTTGAATAAGCCGATTTTTCACGAAGTATTTTCGCTTTCAGGGCTATCAAATTAGAAGTTTTAGTAGAAATCTCCAGCTCATCTGTTGCCGAGCGACTTATTCGGATAAAAAATGGAGCTAGCCAAATTAAAGATGGTGGAAGAAATGGTGAATGGTGAAAAGGTTAAGCAGCAAAAATGATTAACCGCAAAATTCGAAATGAATTATAGCTGAATGGATTAAAACGAGTTAAAAAATGGAATTAAAAATTAAATTACCTACTGAAAGGCAAAAATATAATCATCGCCAAATGTGGAAATATAATGGCAGTGACTACGCAATAATTACAACGAAGTTCGAATTTAGCGAGCCACACCATCATCATAAAATTTAAATTAACCTTCAATGATCTTGTTTCTGCGGGCTAACTTCATTGCAAGCTCATCGCTGCTATCCACTGAATATGATCTGATTGAAGACAGTGAACATGTTGGTGATGATGATGAATTTTGACTCATGATCTGAATCATTTTGTAAGCGAAAGGATAGCCACTCTTGGCTCCAAAACTATACAAAGATTAAAAAATTCGAGAATTCATCACGATAAAAGCTTTATCAAAGACAGCGTAAAGTGAAAAACCGACATAGATGAATTAAAGTTGGTGGTTTTAAATATGCGAATAGCAATAATAACCAAATATTATTTAAAAAATATTAATAAGGATCAAAAAATTTTTAATAATTTATATTTACAATTTTTAGAAAATTTATAACTTTTCGATTTATCTCTCGAACAATAAATTTATTTCTCATTCTTTCACGAAACGTTCACCAGTGTGTTTCAAAGAGATCACTCTTCGTTGGTTGAAATGATTTATTATAATAACAGTACAATATCTAATATTTAAGTCATAACTATCAGCTGATATTAATCAAAAAATTTCCTTCTAATCTGTTCTAATTATTTTACTAATTAGTACTAATATAATTATAATTTTTATAATTTTATAATCTTTATAATTAATAATTGAAAAAAGGACGAAAATTTTTTTAATTTTTCTATAAATTTCTTCATCATATCCAAACTTGCTTTAATATTATTTTTTTTATTATTTTTTTATTATTTTTTTATTTCATTTTATTTTATATATCTGAAAGAAATAAAAAATTCAAAATTCTTTGTTGAAAAAAAAAGAATGATAAGTTGAATCAAAATAATTTGGCGCAATGTCAATTGAAAAGTGATGATGAAGTTGACGGATTTAAATTGGTCTGCAGTCTGCAGTGAGGAATCATACAATTAACTGCCCATATAAAATTGATAAAATATGAGAGAAAATATGAATTCTGGTATGGGAAAATATGGGAAGTTTTTGGCACAGGTGAAGATGGATACTGACATGTGATAAAAGATTAGGGTGTTTTATTTGATTTACGGCCGAAGAGAAATATTCTATTTTCTCGTCAGTGAGTTCCCAGTGGTGATATTTCTTTAGTAATCTCATATTTACTGAGACTTATTCCACAACATTGTTAAAGAATTGATGCTTAGCAAATGAATAAAGTAATGATGCTAATAAATGAAAAAAGGAGGCACTGGGCCCACAAGCACATCAGGCAAATATTTTTTAGAAAACTTATAAAATTGCTCTAAAGGACTGAAAAGATTTCATGATTTCAAATCGATGGAAAGATAAGATGACTGCTCAATGCTCTACTATTCTCGATAATAAGAATTTTCCCACCATGTAAATGTGGTTAAAGGTGTTCATGAAACAAATGTCATTGAAAATGCAGAAATCGACTTTGACACTTAATCAAGTGAAGCTTAAAGAAAAAAATCTCTTTTCTTTAGCGGATTCATCCCCAAAATTTTTTCTACCGTTCACTCACTCGTATCCTCCGATAAAGACGATAGATTTTGTGGTTGATAATTCTTAACAGAAGTGAGATCAATCAATTTGAGTAATAAAACGAAAAACTAGAAATAACATTGTAATGAAAAGAAATTAGAAATATGAGAAGAAAGAAGAGAACAATAGCACTAACTTTTTTGATAAAAAACTTCTAAAATAAGCAAAAAATTATTTAAAATGGAAATCGATGTAAAAAAATGCAACGGCCGATTTTGCGAACAATGTTGATCACACCGATGCCAAGACGAATACGAAGAATATTTGAATTTATAATTTATAACTTGATTGACCTGCACCAGTAACAATCAACATAAAACAACTAATAACTGATCGTTATCGAATTTTTCTTCATTTAGCCTATTATTTCATATAAATAAATGCCTTTCCATTAATAGAAGTAGTATTTACATTTACATTTAGCAAAACTATTTCATATGCTTCCATTTATTTATGCTTACTTCCGTCTAATTATCAAATAATTTAAGATTTGAAGAGCTCAATGTAGCGAAATGGCCAAGTAATTAGAGTATGTGCTTGCATTAAAAGCCATGAACAGTTGGATCATCGCTGGCTGAACGATGTTCCTTGAAAAATTGCTTCAAAATCTTTAAAATTTATTTTATATTATTCATCTTATATGAATTTGTTCTATAATTATTTATGAAATTTTTTGAAAATTTGAGAGATATTGTTGAGACATATAATTAAATATACAGTTACGTGACTCATTTTTTACACTAAATTTTTTTCACTCATTTCTTATTACTTTTTTTAAAGTGAATCTGGAGTTAGCAGCTGTTTTCAATGTGGAAATTAGATATTTTAAATTTGATGATTCAGATCCTAGAAAAAAGTTGAGGAACAAGAAAAAGTCAAAGAGATCCATTTTTTTCATACAATTTTCCCAAGTAATCTGCTTGCTGTACAGGCATTTTAGATGAATCGAAAAATTCTTATTCGAAAAACCCTTTAATATGAAGATAAACAGAAATCATTAACATCCACACTGTTATGCATAACACACCTTTTTGCATAGTTTAATTAACTCTTAGAAAGGAAGAAAAAAATGAATAAAAATTTCGACCTATGATGAAGCGAATTTCCGAATATTCATTGGATATAATCATCATTATTATTATCATCAGATCACAATAAACGCAACCAGGCCAGTCTGATAAAATAGCCATTTCAAACAATTTATCTAATTAAAAGAAAAACCACAGTTTATTATTTCAATATCGATGAATATTTTTGCTCATAGATTAATTTAATTGCTTTAAAATTGGAAAATTTAACCGAGGTAGCCTTCAGTTTCGTTGAAAATTTTTCCGAGACTTTTAATTTAATGCCCCCATTATATCCACAATACTAACATAAGCAGGTTCATCATTGATATTATTTTTTGTAAAGAGGTTAAAAAGATATTTATAAAAACTGACATAGAATTTAAACGGAATTGAAATTAAAAAATTTTTCGGTAGAGAAACGTTAGTAAAACTGGTTATAAAACTTTCTGCTATGAGGCCTAAAATGGCTCAGGGTTGTTGCTCAATTCGAAGCACCGATGTTGAGGTTCCACTATCCGCAAAAATAAATCTATTCAAAAACCAGGATAATGCTGGCGACTCACCTATACTTCTATCGCCAAGGGACTCCTTGGCATATTTATCTACTGCGATATTTGTCTGCCTAGCTGTGCGAGTCTAGCTAGTATTGGTGAGGGCTCTTTATAAAAAGCGGCTCTTGCTACAAGTTGATCAAATTTTCAATAACCCATTATTAACCCGATATTTTGATTGTTAATGGATATTTATAATAATCTTTCTCATCCATGATTTAAAAGTAATGTCATAAAATTTCGAATGTTAGATGCTACTTTATAGTGGTCAGCTTCAACTCTTTTTGCGTTTACCCTTTTATTTCCCTCATTTGAGTCGTTCAAATAAATTGATGTCATAAACTACTTTTTTTTATGTTCCACTGGGGACTTGTATAGCTTTGTTTATGACTGTAGTCGTCTTATTATACTTGAATACTCCATTTTTCTAACTCTGGCATGTCACTAAACGCCACTATGAGGTGAAGAAAGTTGCCTTTTAACAACCAGCTCTTCATTAATTGATTAATTCTTGGTTGATCCTTAATTGATGATAAGGTAAAGCGCTGGGTCGAGTCCTATTTTCACTTTTACGACCACATAGCATTTTTATCATCAGCTAAAAATGTTAGTAAAGCCATTTGGCTGCAAATAGTGCAAATCGCTTTTACTCATGATATATTTGAAAAAATATTTTTGCACTTATACACTTTTATAGATTAATTTTCGTGATAAATTATATTTAATTTTGTGCAACAGAATTTAGAGATCTAACTATTTAGCCTATCTAGAATGTGAATGGAACCAAGTCTAAACATCGTCAGCTAAAAATATTTTAGCATTGCGATAAAATGGAAAGTAGAATGAGTGTAAGGAACATTCGTTGAATACAGAATATTTAGTTAAAAATAAAATATATATTTAGTTAAAAATATACAAAAGTGGTACTCATAAGGTATATAAAAGAGATTTTCAAAATAATCAAAGAAAAATTCATTACTTCGTGGGTTTTTTATAAATATAATTCTAAAAAATTAATAATGGAAAGCGCTGACAACGACAATGACAGGAAGGGATTTTTGGAAACACAAAAATTTTAATAAAAATCATAGATTCAGAATTAGAAATTTAAAATTGAATCGCGCCAAGTTGGTTAGTCAAATGAAAATCGAGAAATAGTGGAATCGTTTGTTGTAAAATCATTCATTCTCTTATCAATGATTTTAATCATTTAATATTTATTCGCCGTTTTCTTAAAATAAATTTTCTTAATAACGATTACTATTTTAATAAATAATTTTCAAACTATTATAAATATCGTTGCTTAAAGAATTATTTATTTTATGAACAAATATAATGATATATTTTTAAATCACTTATTCCAAGACAAATGTATTTCTTATATGTTTAAATTTTGTAATTACTTGTTCGATGAGGATTTCTTGACGATAACCAGAAGTCCACACATCCTCAAAGAAGTCTGTTTTTTCACCATATTCAATTTAATTTATTTGTATATTTTGGTTTTACATTATACATTTACATTTAAAGGCAATATTCAAAAAATATATCTACAGATTACCAGCGAGATCCAGGAGAGAAATCAAGAATAATTATTTTAGATAAAGCACTTTTAAAATTGAATTGCACTTGGTTGATCTTTTTAGCCTCATAAGCAATGATTCTAGGTTCGAATGAAACTGATGTAAAATTATAATATTAACGACTCATTGGAAATTTGTTTTCAAATCGCTTTCAGCCTTTCAATACATCATATATGCTTTACAAAAGGGTGTTACAGTGGAAGCGTAAATAGGTGGCCAGTATTACAAGAGTTTTCCAATATCAGATTTCTCCAGCCATAGGCTGGAAATCTTGCCTCTTAACAGGGAGGGTTGTATCACTGTGCTATTCTGCCTCCTCATTTATAGGCATAAAGACGGGAGCTAATTACTAAAACTAAGGTGATAAGAAAAAAAATAGTTTTCTGAACCTTATTTTACATATTCAAATAGGATAAATTTTTTGGTTATTTTATACTTTTATTTTATACTTTATTTTTTAAACTATTATGTTTTCCATTGCTTAAATATATGAAAACATATATTGATCTTTTCTTTAAGGCTGGTTAAAATTTGCATACAAGAATAGCTTACCGATAAAATTGGTTTTTTAGGTGTTGGCGGAGGTGTATTGACTATCTGATGAGCCAAATTCATGGCTACGTCCATGGGAATCTCTTCCTTAAACGACCCATTTGACAAAAATTTATTCTCAAAATCAAGAATCAAATTTGATGGTCGATTTGCTTTTGTCATCCTTTGCTTTGCCAGCTTCTTTTCAAGCTCATTCCTCTCCTTTAAATTTTAAAATTTAAATCTAAAATATGATTTTATAAGACGCTTGTAACACGAGAAAACCATATTAAACTGGGTAGAAATGGATATGAGTTATATTCGATGCCTCTTAAAATCGTCACATTCCAGACTGCTTTATAAATTTGTTAAGATTTGATTCTTATCTTAATTTTTTTTGCAAAGTAAAAAAGTTTTAAATAAATCAAAAATTTTTAGTCACTGTTTTTAAAGTGTACAACTAGTTTCCTACTGGCGCATTTTATAGTTCTCATCTTTTAAAATAAGAAGTACTACGATTAAAACTAGGCTAATAGAAAGGCGCTCACTTCAAGAAAAAATGCTATCTGTTGAAAAATGTAAATATCTTTAAAATCAAAAAGTTATGATTTAATAGAAATTTCAGGATAAAGAACTTTGAAGATTAGAACAATGAGCAATGATACATTTCAGTACGGATTTTGCACTTCGACTTGTTTACCCACTTAGATCATTTAAGAAGTTCTCTAGAAATGATAAATGATACAATTAGTTATTGGTAGGATGAAACCGTGCATTTTGCTAAACCATAAAATATCTGAACTTGTTTAAAATATTGATGAAATATGCTTTAAGAAGTTTTTATTCGCCTCTCCTAACTCGTGACTTTGGTAAAATCAGCGCCTAGTTTTTAAGTTTTTTTTTTTAAAAATGGTCCTAATAATTTTTCTTGTATAAGTGCATAGAACAAGTATATTTCAAGGTTAATTAGTATGGAACATAAATAATATAATAAATATAAATAATATAACCAAACTGAGAAAAAGATAAATCACACCGTGGGTTTTTCCGTCGAAATTTTTCGTGATTACAAAAAAACAAAGGAACTTTCTTCAAAGGCTGCTATAATGAACTGAGTCCCATGGGAAATTTCCAAACAATTTTCTTCGTTTAGAATTTCGATTTATCACGGAAATGTATGTATATCAGATATATTGACAAACAGTTACATCAATATGATTAGTCATTATTAACTTACCATCCGAAGTGATGATTCGTCAGATTGCATCGAAATAGATCGAGCAATGTTCTTGTGATGGACTATTGGCACTATAGGAGCGGTACATTTTCGAAAAGGCGTTTCATATTGTGATTCATTTGAGATATTCGGTGACAATGAACCCGGTGATTCCATTGGTTTTCCAACTATGTAATTATTTTGTTGTTGAATAGAAGCGATTTTAGAAACATCAGACGGCGGATTATCTCCATCCTTGCCAAAAATTTCATCCCTTAAAGGCAATGCTCCCTTTTGCAGAAATCCATTTTTATTTGGATCCAACTGCTGTGGGTTATTTTGTATTACTTGATCGCGAATATTACTGGTCTTATCCAATTCTTTGCCGATTAATTCGTCCATATCGATGGTTTCATCGACAGCGACAGAATAAGGAAAGAATTCAAATTTACCAGATGGAAGTGGTGCTGGAAGTATGTTAGGTGATTGCATATCAGCGTCCATACTTGAAGTGGAACTTAGAGAAGCTAGTCTCCTCTCAAGTTTGGCTGCTAATTCCTTGTCAACCATTAAATAGAGCGAAACAGTACACACTAGTAACTCAGTTTACACAGGAAAATCTCTAGCAATCTTCTGCGCTTCATCACTTTCCACTCTCTGTTTCGAAAGCGATCGCTGCTTTATTACACCCATGTTTTACACTTAATCCGCATACTTTTGCTCTTTTATCAGTTAACATAGATCACTTCTTACCTAATGACTTAAACTTTAATGATATTGCCACTGAACAAATTGCTCCACTGTTAGATGAAAATCGAAATAGCCCCGTTTACATTTGAAATCCGCTCTCTTATGGCAGTGAACCCTGTCGTCGTTAAAAGTAAAACCCGTGTGTGTATTATGAATTTCACGCAATTCCTAAATAATGCAATAATAATTAATTAAAAGCAGTAAATGCTCAGATTTATCATTTTTATTCTTTGTATTTATTTATATAAATAATTCTTTTAAAAAAATTTCAATAAAACTAGCAAAAGCTAAGAAAATTATTAAATTATGGGATCTGAAACTTTTTCGAAAATTTCGATCGTTTCAGTACTCAGAAATTATAAGCGTACTTATGCGAAATTTTGAGATCTGCAATTATTCACTCGAAATTTGGCAATAAAAGTTATCTCGAAGAATTCAAACTATAATTACCGTATGTTCGAAGAAATTTTTTTTTTGGAGGGGGGTTTCTGAATGAATTTATCAACTTACAAAATATGAATTACATATAATTTCTTACAAAATTCTTATTTCCTTTTTATAAAATTAAATTGTTAAATTGTTTATTTATCCTTTGCATTTAACCTTTATAAATTATTTATAATTTATTTCTCAAAAAAATTTCTTATAAAGATTTTAAAGTTTTAGAGATTTAGAAATCGAAAAGGAAACAAATATTAAATGCAAAAAACACTGGGCCAGAAGCCAATAAATTTAAACCCATAGCATTATTCAACTTTTTGCCCTTAATTTTTTTCTAATTTTCTGCTTCACAAAAAAATTGTTTGTTTGTTTCGATTTGTTTTTATTCTCAAATCCTATACCAATTCTTTTGAGATATAAAATCTTCGTGGCGAAAAACGAAGCCAACGATTGGAGAATCTCATTCTAACCCTTTAAAATTTCCATTTTTCAATAATTTTCCTAAAATCTTTTTGGAAATTCTCATTTTTTTTTTCAGTCAGTTTCAAAAAGTAGTTGAAATATCATGAAAGACCATATCAATAAGAATGAAACTATAAGGAATAAAAAATAAATAATAGTTTTGATTCACATTTTGCTGCGATTAACATTCATGGCTTTTATTTAAAATAAAGAAAATATGAAAAAAACAATTTGTTATATAATTTAAACAATATAATTTTGACATATAATTTCCAACAACAAAAAAACGTGCAGAAAATGAAATTACCGATACATAATTCAAAAAACTTTGAAAAAATGCTTGTGAACCAGTTTCCTGGAAATTTGTAAAAATAAAGGCAGCAATCATTGGAACTAATCATTATAATCGGAAACAGGAGGGCACGAACATATTAGATTGCGATCACCATACTGGTCGTCGATACGGCTAACACTTGGCCAAACTTTTGAATGGCACCAAGGACGTGGAAAAGCAGCCATTTCACGCGAATATGGCCGGTTCCAAGTTGATGATGTTAAAACCGTTAGTGTATGTGGCGCCATCTTGAAATAAATATGATTTTGCAAAATTGGACGGAGTCTAATTCTTATTTATTATTTCGAATTAAATTTGATTGTTTTGATGAACTTTCTTATCGCTTATGCTTCTCATTTCCCACAAAATTAAATTAACAAATTATAAAATTTTTTAATAAATTTATTAAATTACTTATAAATATTTCTTTCGGAAACATCCAGTTAAAACTGCACAAAATCTATTATTGAAATCTAGAAATTAAGATTAAAATTAAGAAAAAATTAAGAAAAAAAGATTTCAGTAACTTTTAAAGGATTTATTTTTTTGTCCATTTTTCCCTTCTCAATCACAGCAATTTCTTCTCTTATCGCTATCAAAGAATCAATTAATCGATCCATTTCAGCTTTATCTTCGCTTTCAGTCGGTTCAATCATCAAACAACCATGAACTGGGAAAGACATCGTAGGTGCATGGAACCTGCAAAGTTTTGCGGTATTTACTAGTCACATGTAATGAAATTCTTAGTTGACTCTATTAAACAACTGTTCAGCCAAAAAGTAGACCCTTGAGCAATTCAAAAAAAAATTATAAAATAGCACAAAAAATACTCAATAGATTAGCAGATTTACAAAAAAAAACAGAAAATCATTTCTATAGTTTTTTGAATTTTTTGACTATATATTTAATCGCCCATTTCTTTATTCTGACAAGGTTTTTCTAAAATTGATAACCCATAATCCATTAATCGTTTGGCAATATCAACTACTTCAACAGCAGCAGTCGTCTTGAATTCTCGACAGTCAATCAAAAATTCGTGAGCGACATGATTTTGTTCATCCTGATGGATTCGATAAATTTAATAAATGAAGAAAATTCGCAGTGACTTTAAAATTATTCCGTTAGCTGCTGTCATAAAATTACCTATTAATTCAGCTAAAAATTGGAAGAACCGATCATAAACTCATAAATAAATAAAATAGAATTTACTGCGCAATAATAATCAGAAAGCCTTATTGCTTTAAATCTTATTGAATAAAAATAATTATTTTTTAAATATTTTTAAAGCTTTATGATCCAAGAGACTTACCGTGAAACTTGGTTAAACAGAAAAATGCAGACAGAAAAGTGCTAAAAAAAACCTTATAAAGTATAGGATAAATTCCTTGTAATCGTTTAGCCATATAGTTAGCATTAAGAATAGCCATCTGAGATGCTCTCTTCAAACCACTGTTTCCCATCAATTTTATATAAGCCCAAGTAATAGGGAGGATACTACAAAAAAATTAATGATATTTGACGAAAATACTGATTAAAAATAGTTCTAATATAAAATATCAATCAGTCATCACCTGCTTGATCCATAAGGAGCAGCGCTAACTGCTCCATCAATTCGACCATCGATGGGAACAACAGGATGTCCTGGTAAGAATGGAGCAAGATGAGCCTTACTAATAAAATATTAGTCAAAATATGAATAATAATTAATAACAATTAATATTATTAATAATAAATAATAATTAATAATAAATAAAAATAATTAATAATAATTACAAATAATAATTAATAATAATAATTATTATAAACAATAATTATCATTGTTATAACTATAATTAATAATTATAATTTAACAAATTATCAGAAAATTAAATCACGATCAAATTAAAAGTAACAAATGAAAATCGTTTTCTACCATATATCTATTTATTTATGTAATAAACAATCGTAAAATCGTAAAATCAACGGTGAAATTTACCTTTTGGCTTTAAAATGTGGCTAATAAATTGAGCAAATATCTAAAAGACGAATACTTACACGCCGATAGGTCCAACTCCTGGTCCACCACCGCCATGCGGTATGCAAAATGTTTTATGCAGATTCAAATGAGAGACATCACTTCCATAATCGCCGGGACGACATAGACCAACCTCAAAATTAATAATAAATATGAAAAATAGCATGATAAAAAAACAAAAAAGCAATAAATTTTAAAAAACATTTAAAATGTGTGAAGACTGAATGTGTGAATGTGAAAATGGTGACAATAATGTAAGAAGCCGAACAAAATATCATAAAAGAAACTTGTGCGTTTAAATTTGCGCCATCTAAATAAACTTGTCCACCATTTTCATGTATTATGGAACAAACATCACATATAGACGATTCAAAAACGCCATGTGTTGAAGGATATGTGATCATAATAGCTGCTAACTTATCTTTATATTTTTCCACCTAAAAAATGAAAATAGTTAAAATATTTTAAGACATATTTATGATATTTATGAAGAAAATAAGGAAAAAAACTTTTCGAATTCAAATTTCGATTTCAGAATTCAGATGACCTTGGCCGATAAATCCTTGAAACTAATATTTCCATGGCGATCAACATCTACCGCAACAACTTTCATATTGGCCATATGAGCACTAGCTGGATTTGTGCCATGCGCTGACGTTGGAATAAGGCAAATCTGCAAATTTTTTTCAGAATCAATATAACGTATCTTTATTTAACGTATTTATTTAAAAATAGTCCATTTCATTCATTAATCTAGCAAACAATTTAAAATTTAACAATTCATTATATAAGCCAAAAATTATAGACCTAAAAAGAAATCTAAAAGTCCACGAAATTTTCCCTTAAAAACGCAAAAAAAAGTCAATTAGAACCCAAAGGCAATAAAAAATGTAGAAAATGTAGTATTCTATAGAAAATACTATAGAATGAAACAGGCAATAAAAAAATTATAAGGATAAATAATGAACAGCTCGAACATCTCTATTCTGTTGACCGACCGAATCCAAATAATTTCGAATTGCCAGAAGACCAGAGTATTCACCATTAGCGCCACTAAATTCAAAAGAATAATTTGACAGGTCCAGAATCCCCAAAAGAAATCAATTTAACCCATTAATAAGAAAAATATAAATAGCTCTCGAGTAAAGCATGCAAATTTTAAGAGCAATGCCTGTTTGGTTGAAGAGAAACTTTATCGTAGCCAGTAATCTCACATAACCATTCTTCTAAATCGTGAAATATCTTCTGAAATCCTTTCGACTGTTCCACTGGGGAAAAAGGATGTAGACCGTTAAATTCTGACCATGTAATGGGCTATAAGCATAACATTTTTTTTGCAATTTCCACTCTTCTAAAGTAAATGAAAAAAAATACAACAGCACCAGTTAATCAATTTCAATCAATTTTCAATATCTCTAATCATTAAAAAAAATTTTAAAAAGAATAAAATTTTACTTCCATGAATCTTTCTTTCCATAGAACTTGCAATATTGGAAATTTACCATTAATCACGACAAATCGCTATTTTAAAGGATTAGACACCAAATTAAATCAACATATAAAAATTTACCATTAATTCAGCACTAGCATTGAGTTTCATTGTACAAGAACCGAGAGGAATCATCGAGTGAACCAAAGAAACATCTTTATTTTCAAGCCTTTTCATATAACGTATAAGCTGTGCTTCACTGTGATGCGTATTAAAAAGAGAATGAGTAAGGAATAAGCTTTTACGACCATGAACTGGATTCCTCGTTAAACAATTAATTTTCTCAACATTTTCTTCAATTTGATTCTAAAACAACAAGAAAAATTAGAAAAATTGAATGCGATTTATCAATAGCCATACCCTAATTAACTTGAAACAATGCTTTCATACATTCTTCATATATAACAAGAAATCTACCATAATCTTGCATGACCATAGTGAATTCATTGCATTTGAAGTCTCATCACGAAAGAAAGCTAAAAGTCCTCATTATTTAATTAAATTGAAAAGAAAAATTTGATATCAAATTTCTTAAAATCTGATATTTATGACGTCAACCTATATAAGTTTCGCCAATAAATAAGGCGTATAATCGCATTCAATAGTTGCAACCTTATATGATTAATTTTATAAAAATTTTTAAATTAGCGTGGTTATCATCGATTAAGTTGATTAAGTTTATCATCGATTAGCAAAAAAATTGGAAATTAATAAAGTTTAAAAGTTAAAAGTTTTATAAGAAATTCTACAACAATTGGACGAAGTGATCCAAAAATATTGAGAAACTGGTAAAATATTGAAAAAATGACCAAATTGTTTTCTAAATTTGTTTTAAATTTTTGATTCAACTGGAATGGATTTATGCAAGGATTTAAGGACTGTGCTTTATCACGGGAAAAGACTAACTTCGAATCGATAAAACCCCACTTACCGTAGTTATATCGGTGATTCCGAAGACATAAAGCAAATTGGATAAATCCTCATAAGTCGTAGTCTCATCAAGCGAGATTCCAACACATCCATCATTAAAATATCGCAAATTCAGGCGTTTCTCTTCGCTTCGATCTTTTATTTTTTCAAAATCGTTAACGCGCACTTTTATTGTGTCGAAGAACGTTCGATGGATAACTTCGTAAGAAGAATTTCTAAGATCTTAAAATTTCCTGAATTAATATAAAACTTGGTCATCAAGTAAATTGTCAGAAAATGGCAAATCGTGCATTAGGTTTTGCGAAATTACAATTTGCTCATGCTAAAGACTAGCGATAAGACATATTCAAAATTAAAAAACCAACGATTGGCTAAAAATATAGCTCCTTTATTGATACTACTTGCAATACGTTGCAAACCGTTAGGTCCATGATAAATAGCATACATTACAGCCATATTGGCAAGCAAAGCTTGTGCAGTACAGATGTTTGATGTAGCCTTGTCTCTCCGGATATGCTGCTCACGAGTTTGTAAAGCTAATCGATACGCCGGTTCATTGTACATCCCTCTGAAGAAATTTTTAAAATTTAAAAATTTTTTAAAAGAATTGTCAGTATTACTGCAGTTAATTCCGATGAAATGAAAATTTCAAACTGAAGACTTTTCCCATATTTGACTAAAGATCCTCATTCCTGACATTAAAAACCGGTAAAACTTCTCACTTGCTAAGCCCAATTATACGACCAGGCATTGTTCGAGCAAGAGAATTACGCGCATCATTTTGTTTCACGGCCAGAAAGGCGGCATGCGGACCACCAAAACCAAGCGGAACACCAAATCGTTGCGCACTACCTAGAGCAATATCCGCATCGAGTTCACCAGGAGAACGTAGCAACGTAAGCGATAATAAATCACAAATAAGTATAACCAAACTCTAAAATTCATTTACCATAAATAACTGGATATTAGAAGAACTTATTTCTATGAATATATAAATATATAAATATAATTGAATCTGAACCTAAGGTAGAATTTTAGTTGTTTTTTTCAAACTGACAGAAACTGCTAAAACTGAAAATTAAAAACGGTTATTTTAACTGCTGAAAAAATTTGTTCGTAATTAAATAAATAAAATTGATAAATTGAAAATTGAAAAACAAATTGATAAATCTGAATGACTGCAATTAATCTGCTCAGAGTTCTACCAAAAGTTAATTCTCTAAGGGAAAGAACCCTAGCCCAGAAGTGAGTGGAACCAACCAAAAGATATATTGCAGGCGCTGCACGAAAAAAGAAAGAACTTGAAAAAACAGAAAAAAGCCTTAAAATTTTTCTTTATTTTAACGAAAAGATAAATCTCAATATTCTTTATGAGATTAATGCAAATGGTTTCTAAACAATTCTTCCTAAAACATGTATGATCAATTGGCAACCAATAAATTAAATGACAAAAAGAAGCAAAAGCGATAAAAAATGACCTCATTAGCGTGGGCTTCCTTGATTAAATTATCCAGTTGCACAATATTTCCTTCAGTATTTGGATACTGAACTATAACAGCAGCAATACTTTCATCAAATCCTGGTTGTTTCATCTTCAATCTCTTCAAATTTATATTAAAAGATCTGAAAATAAAATTCTAAATAAACGTAAGCTTTCAATTCAGCTCATTTTCTTCACCATTACGAAAATCCTAAGTCCTTTATTTACCATAAACAACCCAACACATGAATGTGGATAAGAAACATGATGAATGAGAAAAAATTATTGCAGTTCGGAATTTTTTCGTTAAAAAATTAATCCAAAAAAACTATGGAAATAAAAAACGAATTAATTAAAAAGATGAAAAAATTAAATTAAATAAACCAAATGCGAAACATATAACAAGATCGAATGAATCACGCCTATATAGATGCAGAATTTCATTTTTATGGTGATTTCACGATAAAGGTTTCGTCAACTGGAAGAACCATTTTTAGCTGCCGTGATCTGGGTTGTAGTGTCGTCTGAATCAACCAAATCTGAGTCGTGCGCTCATGAAATGCCTTTATGAGTCGAATAATCTTCTCTGAGTTCCATCATCCTCCAAAGCGCCGCTCTATCAATTGAATCAAAGACAGCCGCAAAGTCGATGAAACACGTGAAACACGTGATGAAACAAGTGAGCTGCAAATATTTGAAACGATGTTCCAACACCCTTCTTAACGTGAATATCTGGTCAACACAGCCGCCCTGGTCTGAAACCAGCTTGATTAGGGCGCATCTTGCTGACTCGTACTTCCATAAGTCTGTTAAATAAAAGGAAAGCAAAAATTTTCGCTAAGATGTCTAGTAAGCTGATTCCTGTATAATTGTCGCAATATGTCCCATCATCTTTCTTGTGAGAGCAAAATTGCTTTACTCTAATCATCTGGTAATATTTCTTTTTCCCGTACCAGAGAGTATATTTATTGAAGGTGTGTTATGAAGGATGGACAATATTTAAAGAGTTCAGCCCGAAGACCATCTTCTTCCGGAGTCTTATTGACCTTATGGATAGCAGATATTATTTCTTCTTCTGTCTGGGACCCGCAGTTGAAAGCATATGGTTGAGCGAATACATCAGCTATATCAAGGATAACAGACAAAAGATAAGTTTGGCCTCAAAGAATTCTTCCCATCTTATGAGGCGGTTCTTTTGATCGGCATCCATTGCTGTCCCTTACCGTTTCACTGATCGCTCCCTGAATTTAGTTGCTTTATGAAAAAGGCGGAATAGCTTTCTATTATCGCTTAATCGAGCCGCCGTCTCCATTCTCGAGGCCATGTCACTCCAATAGTGATTTCTGTCCCACAGTACTACTTTAGTTGCAAATCTTCGAAATATTCGGTAGTCAGGATAACTTAACATTCGTGCTTTGGCAGCTTCTTTTTCAGACAATTGGACAGTTGCGATATCCAACAAGTTATTGAAAAAATAATTGGCTGAAAAAAATAGAAAAAAAATTTGCAATTTTGTAAATTTGCAATTTGAAGTTTAAATTTTGGAAAATCAACATGCAATTTAGAATAATCGCAATCGCGTTATATTCTAATCCTATTTTAAATTTCTCTTTCTATTTTCCATTTTTAAATGATATTCACCGATATCTCCTGGCTTTGAGAAAAAATGAAATTGTTCAATGAAAATCGATGCTGCACATTTTATTCGCAAAATAAAATTTCGAAAAAATATACATAATATATGAGTAATTAAATTTTATTTCAGATAAACCTTTTTTTTTAATAGCATTCATCACTGCTGGTTAACATTTTGGACTATACAAATGAGTCGCTAGGCGACAGAAGTGCAGTACCATCGCATTTTTAGACAGGCTTATTCGGAAATAGAAACTCAGCATCGGCGCTCCAAATTGGTTAACCTACTACCTACTGAGCCATTCGATTCTCCTTTGCTTTTTCGATTAGGCGACACTCACGCTCGACGAAGTGGTACGTTGATTCAAATTTAAACTTCAATTCTCGAAGGCAATTACCTTGTCACTGAGTCAGAAAATGCACCAAGAATAAGAATAGGATAGGAATAGTGTCAATGCATACAAAACGAAAGTCTTTTCGTTTTATCTTATTGTATAAGAAGCTGATAAAATGCCTCTTTTTGTAAATTCATTGCCGGCCAAGGAAGTGTCCGATTTTAAATACCTTGGGTCCACTCTAATAATGACCTGGACCATATTATAGCCCAGATCACGGCAGCTAGAAATGCATATGCATTCTTTCGGTTGACGAAACCTTTATGGAGCCGTCGTTAAATTACCATTAAAACGAAAGTCCGCATCTATATAACCGTGATTGGTTCGATCTTGCTATATGGCTCTGAGACATGGCCAATGAGAGTGGAGGATATTAAGAAGTTATCTGCCTTTGACCACTCTTGTCTAAGGTACAAGGTGCGTCGAGTGGATAAAATATCACATAATTGCATCCACCTTCGTTAAAATACCATTTCAATAATTAATAACGACAGAGCATCGCCTTGGTAAGGACACATTCTGTGTCATCCACCAGAGGAGTTGACAAATATACGTTACTGCTAGACCCTGTGTTGGCGTCAAAAGCGAGATGGACCAATCAAGACTTGGACTGGTATGGTCAGAAAAAATTTTGAACGTATAGGTGGACCAGCAATATATGGACTTAGACGATGGAAAAAGGAACGGCTTTCATTACTGTCGACGATGGCATCAGACCACGCCGCTTGGAAGCGTCTTACCCTTGAAGCCGTTGGAGCCAGTAATGGTGAGAGCTGTTAGAAGAAGAAGAAGAATTCGAAAGATAAAAAGTTCCTTGAACTTTTTACAAATTAAAGATAAAAAATAAGAATAAATTCGAAAAAAACCCAAGTTTAAATAAGCTATAGCGAATGATAAAATTTAGAAAAATGAGTAAGAGAACAGTACTTTGAACGAGTCTCTAATAGAGCAATATTCTGCGGGTGTAGAAATTCATCGACGAGGATCGCAGAACGTTTTGTGTAACGAACGGCGAGAGCTACTGCTTCTGCGCAAGCCGTACTTTCATCGAGCAAGGACGCATTAGCTATCTGAAGTCCCGTCAAATCGCATATCATAGTTTGGAAATTGAAAAGACTCTCGAGGCGTCCTTGAGAAATTTCGGCTTGATACGGTGTGTATGGAGTGACCCTGAAATGAAAATCGAAAATTCCACATATCTCTAATTCATTCATGTTTACCATCTCGTCCAACCATATCTAAGTTAAGATTGAATCTGGAAAGGGCTTCATCTGAACAAATATTCATAACCGACCAGCCAGCGTTTTCAAGCATATTTCTTCGAATTACAGCCGGTAGAATGCAGTCGTAATAGCCAGTACCAATATATGACTTATAAATTTTATTCTCGTTAGCGATTCGATGCAACTCAGTAAGCATTTCAAATTCACCCGAAGCCTTCGGTAAATGTAAGCTTCTTTTTAACGTAATCGATTTTGGCACTATCGCATCTGTTAAATCATCCAATTTCTAAACGAAAATGATTTCTTTCATTTATTTTATTTAGAAGATCAAGTAGCACAACATCCATTGTTTCAATTAACAAAAATTATATAAAATATAATATTAAATCAAAAATATAAAAATTAAATTATAAATAGTCCAACGTCAAATGGCTTAAAGAAATATGTCTATGGTAGTGTAAATTATCAAAAATAAATTTTAAGTGCCATAAAATTTAATTTAATTTTTGCAGAAAACATTAAACATGTTAGTAATTCAGAAGGTTGTGAAAATCACAGCCTCAAATATTGATAAATATTAAAAGCTTATAGCAAAAACTGATTTAGAATTAAGGTAAGGAAGAGATTAAATTATCAAATAAAAGATCAAAAAGCCAAATCCTTACTTCAAAGCCAAGCAAATCAAGCATAACTTTTACATCATTTTGCGATGGACCAATATGGCGATCAGCGAAACATTCATATTTTAACGATCTGACAATAACTGTTGATAATGACAAAGCCTTTCTCATATGAGTTAACAGTAAATGGTGATAAGTCATTCTAAAAAGCCTGCACAAATATTAGACAAATTCACAAATACAAAAATTAGTAAAACTAGGAACGAAAATTCCCCTCCACCCTTTGCTATCGCATTCAACGATCAATATTCTCTTCATCTTTTCCGTTTTACATTTTCTACTCTCTCTTATCATTACAGTTTAAGAAACCCTTGCAAATTTCACCAGTGTACTAAGGGACCAGTTCTTTTAAAATCTCTTCATGTTTAGTATAAATAGCATGAGTGGTAAGAAAAAAATAGAAAAATTGATACACTCAGAAACCATCTCGAAAATACAAGTCCGCAGCAATCTGGTTCTGTTATAAGAAAAGAAAAGTGAAATCTTAATTTTACTGCATTGAACGATTAAATTTACAAAACTATTTATTTATTTATTTAAAAAACCATCAAATTTTTGGAAAATAAAGATTTATTGCCATCTTTTTACAATTTTTCCATTTTTCATTATTGCAAAATTACAAGAAAACAGATGAAACGAACATCACAGACTGAAAAGGAAAACTCTAATATTCTTTCGCAATAGCCTCTAATATTCTTTCGCAATAGCTTTTTTTGCTTGTATAACCCCTTCATCGCGATCATTGTCGCTAACTTTCCTCTTCCTTTTATCTCCTTTTTTTATCTCAGCAAATTCTGTTAAATGCCTCAGTAACTGTTCGGTAACAAATTCAGATGCCTATAATCAAAAGAATGCGAAAAATATTATTTAAATTAAATAAGTTAAATGCAAAATATATTAAATGTTTATCAACGAAATAAACTCATAAAAAAATTCTTCAACAGTAAAAAAATATTAAAGACAAATATTTAAGCGGATTCCTCTACATATAATAAATGATTCTTGACGAAATGGACCACTGAAACCGACTATATTCGAATTTAGAAAATTATTAGATAGCGACTTACTGTTGTAAGAAAAAGCACTGGCAAATGGGAATCTGGAGTCGTTGCAGAGAACTTAATACGTTTTGAAGAGATTTTTTCGACCATCATATCACTCGTTATACGTGAATTCAGAAGTACCCTCATATTTCCAGTTCCCCGACCAACTGGAAGTTTAAATGCAATACTCTCCCAGTTATAGATAAAATTAAATAACAAATAAAAAATACCTATTCGATATTCACTTAAATCAGATTGAAGCAGCCGATTTATCCTAAGTGTCGCCATACCTCGTTCGATCCATTTTTGTAATTTGGCATCAAAGGAATGAAGCTTACATGTCACCTGAAAAAGACTGCATTATATTTCTATTCAATAAAATACAATGAAAAAAAAAGAAAAAATATGGATAAATAAAAATCCATAATTCTGATATTACATGAAGGATACATCGTAAAAACCTATAAGCAATTTAATTGATTATATCAATCAACATTTAATTGATTATATCAATTAAAATCATTAATCAACTTTTTAAATCGCAATGAAATGAAATCAAGCCCTATAAAAAAATGCGAATAAAGTTTTTTGAAATTTGATGTAAACATGGAATCATATTTTACCTTTTAACGTCTCTTATCTTATTCCTTAATAAAAATGATTAATGATATTTTTGAAGACAAATTCTGCTGTACTTCTACTTCTGCTGTACTAGAGAAAAAATTCATAGGTTTTCTTTAGATCTTTTTCAAAGTTTTTTCATCATTAAATCCTTAAGATCCATAACCAAAAAAAAATAGGTTCATTTAAAAATAGGAAAAAATATCTAACATTATAGACGTTTTCTTCACCTTCTTCACCAGTGAATATTTCAACAGGTTCACTTGAAGATACAGTTTTCGAACTGCTATCGTAATCCAATGCTTCATCTGAGAAATTTTTTCCATTTTTTGATGTTGAAGCATCTTTATCGCCCTGAATTTAAATATAATGATTGAATAAACTGACTTAAAGAAAATTTTCAAATAATCTTCGATTTCCTACCATCTTCCTTACAATATAATGAAGAATTAACCACTACATAGAAGAACAGAAACATGTGATGTTTAAGAACCTGCAAACAGAAAGATGCTTTAGGAGATTTCTGCCTAATTGCTTGAAAGACATCTGAAACACTTTTAGGTAACGAATCTTTGCTTTGTTTATCGTTCTCTTTCTTATTCACTGCTCCTTTATTACTTTTTTTCGAATCCTGCAGTTAAATTTGAATAAAATATTGGTGAATATAAAAATTAAAATTAGAAATGAAATTTAAAAACGCTCCTAAACATATTTCACTTTATCAAAAACAACCAGAGATGTACATAAAAATGAAATAGATAAGAACCTCAGAATCCACAATAACTCGTTCAGTAAGTCTCGAACCAAAAATAAAACTGCCGCAGTTGACCGCATCTGGGGCATTATTTACACTGTCTGTGATCTTTTCAACATCCAGTGTACGACCCAAATCTAATTTAATCGAAGTTTGTTCGGCTTTAAATTCATTTTTACTTGTTTGCCACATCTGATCAGCTACTGTCGACAATTTTGAAGATTTAAATTCAAACACTTTCTTTTTTAAATTGGACATAATAAAACTGTAGAAATTAGCCTGGAATTTATAAATTAGAATAATCTCTTCCTCCTCCTCCTTTCTTCAAAGCGGCAATATCAATCGATCTATCATTTGATGCTTTCTACTGATAAAATATCTCAAATAAAATAAAATAAAATTAAGAAAGTGGAAAAGTCATCTTTTTTTAACAGCTCTCACCATTACTGATGCTTCTGCTGGCTACAAAATAAGATAAGTTCGATCTGACGCCATAGTTGACGATGATAGAAGCCATTCCTTTTTCCACCGTCTAAGCCCATATATATCGCCGGTTTTCCTATACGTTCAAAATCTTTCCTGATTATATCAATTCAGATCTTGATTGATCCATTTCATTTTTGACGCCACCCATTTCAGGATTTAGCAAATAACGAAACACATACCAACATTTGTGGTAGGCAATGAAGAAACATGCTTTGGCATTAGAGTGGATTCAAGACATTTGAAATCAGTTCGAAGTTCCTCAACCCTACATACCAGCGTATTCAAGACCTGCAATGCTCTGGACTGGACCTCTTGAGTGGCAGGCAACATTATCCAGCCTTTCGTATAGTTGAATACTGTGGGATACAGAGATCTGCGTTGATGCAAACTGATAAAATAATTTTATGAGCCGAACAATCTTCTCTGGAACACATTCCATCATTCTCCATAGTGTTGCTCTGAATAGAAGTATCTGTTGAATAGAAGGCAATTGCAATATCGATAAAGAAAGTGAGAGGTTGTTGATATTTAAAGCGACGTTCCAGCACCTTTCTTAGTGTGAATATCTGGTTAGCACAACCGCGTCTCGGTCTAAACCCAGTTTAATAAGACGGACCACGCATCCTGCTATGTCCAATTGCCATGAGTTTACTTAGCACAATGGAACCGAAATTTTTTCAAAGATGTCTAATAGGCTGATTCGTTGATAATTATCACAGTACGTCCTGTCACCTCTCCTGTTACTAGAATTGAAAGCAAGATGGAAACTACTCCTGTCATCTGGTATTATTTCTCTTTGCCATACCAGGAAATACATTTGTTGAAGGAGGATATGAAAAACGATGGGCAACGATTTGAAGAGTACTCGAAGAACACCTTCTCCAGAAGTTTTATTAGCCTTAACCCTTATCCCTTTCAGTTGATTCGCAGTTACAAACGTATAATTCGACGAAATATATCTGGGATAACAGATGGCGCCTCGTGATTAAGTCTGGCCTTAAAAAGTTCCTTAAGAAGTGGAATAAATAAGAATAAATGAATTTCTATTGGTTCGAAGGATGAAAATATTTGAATAACAAAAACAAATACATCTATCTATTGAAGTGAGATCATCATATTTAAAAGCAATCACCATTTCTGGTTTGGCTATTTTCCTTGACTCAGTAAGTATAAAAATCATCCCAGAACTTAATATCATGGACCTTGAACTGATGATACTGCTTCTTTCGTTTAAGAAACTACAATCGGCAATATGTCGAGAGAAATGAAAATTGACCTTAAAATAACATAATAAAGGAGAAACTCTTTCCATCCTATAAATTAGATGCTGATAAGATCGCAATTTCTATAAGTTCATCGATGGTTCAAGAAATATCAAATTATATCGGATACATACTTAACGTACAGACAACTGTAGCTATTTTTCCTCATATGACGAAACTTCTTTGAAACCAACGCCAAATCGCTCTGAGAAAGAAAGTTTGTATTTACTTGGCTATAACACACAACCTTGCTGGAAGAATGTGAAATACAGACAGTGAGAGAGGAAAATATCAGGAAGATATTCAAATACAGAAAAAATATATTTAAAATACATCCTTCCACACTTCCACATTTTTCCTTCAACGTATGGAATCTCTGCGTCCATTTTCGCAGGATCAATCAAAATTTAAACTGATGTAGACAGGAGAGATGGATTTTGAAGGCATATGCAGCCCAGCGATATACGAGCTTAGACGGCATAAAAAGGAGTGGCATCAGTTATTTTCAGGAAATGAAACGGATCGAGAGGTTCGGAAATATCTTATCACTGTTCACCGATGAAGCGAGCTAAATCAGCAACTCACTAGATCCTCACGCGAGAAGTCTTCGCGAGGATAGAAGGACAGGTGGACTCACTTTTGCCCACTTTTAATGGCTCTCAATTTAAAAAAAGCAAAAAGCAACCACACAAAATTTTATAATTTTTGAATTCAGCCAAAATAATAAGCAATTTGGGAAAAATTCCTTTCACATTTTTACACGAAAGGTTAAAGGTCATTCACGTTTTTAAACCGAATAAAATAACAGAACTTTTCTTTCACGGAATAAAATTTTCTAAAAAAAAAATTTCCTGAAATAAAGTAAAATGAAAATAAAATTTGGTGAAATCTGACTGCAATTAAACTATTCAAATAAATTAAATTAATAAATTAATAAAAATAAAAAAAACCTTCCAAAATTTATCTTAAAAAACATGAAATATTAAAAGAAAAACAATTACTAAACGCATTATTTTCTCAGAAGATCGTGTTAAGATAATATAAAAAGCCAATAGCTAAATATTTATAATTAACCGCAGCCGATCAAAATCGTCTATCGGCTTACTTGCCTTACCTCAATCTCTCAGGCCTCTAGTGGAGAACCCGAGGTTAAGGGTGAGCTATACCACCCACTTTCGGTGAACAGAAGAATTATTAACTTTTTAAGAATTATTAACTTTTTTCTATGCTTCTTATTATGGAATCAACAAAAAGTGCGGTAATGCAGAATTCTCGAGTGCTGTAGCAGAACAGAAACGCATGGATTTGCTTTCTACATTTTGATTGGATTAAGCGTCATAGAAAGGGATATTGAAGCAGTTCACGCCCGAAATCCACTTGTATTCTCACCGTCTAAAGATCGTTTGGTAAAAAAGAATCTCAGTAGCGGAAACAACTGAACCCAGAATGGTGAGGCAAAAGAAAATGAAACACTGCGATACTTTGTTGGACCCAGCGTGCTTGCTTGTTCGAGCAAAACACTCTATTTTCTTTATTTCCCCTAAAGCATGCAAGATTTCCGGCTTTCAAGCTCTTTAAACTTCTCTCTTTTCATCGGAAATTCCATTTATTTGACAATACAGTCCTGCTTGAAAAATAGGATTAATCTTTAAAAGCACTCTTTAGTAAAACATTTCTTTTTTCCATCTCTTAAATTTAAATTTTGTTAAAAAACGGAATAGCTGAGTTGGTACTTTGGAGTTCTGATGCTGAGCTTTTTTTCCAGCGTGAGTTTTTCCAGTGAGTAAATTTGTCTTTTAGAATTTCAGGTGGTGCTAACGATTCACCTACACCTCTGTCGCCTAGTAACTCCCTGACAAAGTTGCCTAATCAGAAATGGTGAGCGCCCTCAGAAAAAGGAAAAAACGCATGTTTCAAATGGCTAAATTGAATTTCTCTGTTTAGCCTGTTTAACAGAATAAATTGATGAGGACAATGAATACACCATAAATCATCCAGTCGACCTCTTTTTTATGCTTATATGTATTTTATGAAATAAGTAGTCACAAGGCTGCAAAAAAGTACGAGAAATTTAATTCCGTTTGAGTCAAAACTCTAATTAATCCAAATTTCTGGCATTTCAATTTCTGAAATCGTCTCCCGGAGTGATGCCATCTGAATTCACTTATTATCTACAGTGAACGAATTCGCAAATCCACATTTTCAACTGGCGCCATATGCCATACGAAGAAGTCGCTAAATGAATTGTGTTTTTCGTCGATGAATTCTCTTTGTTCCTATTTTTATTACAATGAACCGTCATTATTGCATTGCTGGGAATAGAATGAATGGCTCAGTGGGTTCAATTGTTCAATTGGGGGCGCTAATGCTGAGATTCGATTCTCCGCAGGAGTGAAGCTGTACAAAAATTCGGCCACTTACCTGTACTTCTATCGTCAAGGGACTCCATGGCATATTGCCCAGGTGCGATAAGCCAGTGGAGCGAGTTTAACCAGTAATGGTGAGCATTCTTTTTAAAAACACAATTAAAAACTGTATTACTGTAGAGAAAATTAATTTGAAATAAAATTAAGGCTTAAATAACCAAATCTGTTCGGAATTATTCCATAAATTTAATGTAGGATATTTTATTTATATTCATATCTCGAATTTCATAAAATTTCGTCAATATGAAAATACGCAATTTATTCAGTAAAAATGTGGCACATCATAGCAAATTATTATAGACGCAACTGAAAGTTTGGCTTTCTCTTCGACATTCTGAAAGAGTGGCATATTTGCTTACTTCAAGTGATCTTATATGCGAACAGACAACTCGGGTGCACCCGAAACGGCAAATCAATTACTTATTGATTCAGAATTAATATCCTTTCTCCAAAGGTTCCAAAAGCATATTATTCTACGCTACTGGAAACTTTACTAAATTTATTCGAACTATGTATTATCTAGACATTTACAAGTAAATAAATAAGTGAGGTTAGCTACCACCTTTTCTGGCTGATTGCGATAAGAAATTTTTGCCAGAGAGTTTTGCCAGAGACAGCAGGATCATTAACAAGGATTTTTCAACGAGTTCCTTTTGTTCTTATTGGATGCAAAGCAGAAACCCTGGCGAAACCAGCTCACTAATTATTAAAGTATTAAGTAGTGGAATATGGGATGATTCATATTGTAAGGGAATTTAGGGAGTTAATACGGTTATCTCTATAAATTATTTTTCCTACCTCTTTTCCGTACATGTGATCGGTTCACCAATGGGCAAATCTTATAAATCTTATAAAAAATTTTTATGTCTCTATCGAATAATAATTTGTAATGGTTTATAAGACTTCTGCTTTTCAGCGACATCTTTTCATAATCATATTTGTTTTCGAAGAATTTTTGCTCTGAGCATTTTATAGTAAAAATCCTAAAAATGAATCAATCAAAGCACATTGAGTTTTAAAATAGTTCTTCATTTGTTTTAGAAGGCTGATTTATTTGTATTATTACAGATTCTACTTGCTTTTTAGGGAACAAATTTTTTTTGAATGATAATTCGAGATGTAAAATAGATTTGAAAATTAGCTGATAACTTTGAAACCCTTTTAATTTCAGTTTTTGTGTTAATTCCATCACGGAATAATTTCTAAAGTTGTCGGATGATGCTGACCATTGCACACTCATACCCAAAAAACAATCTGTTTCGGTTGGGGGTGAAAATTAATGCAATAAGTGTTATGAACAAGATTTCCATGATTTCCAAATTAAATTGACACTGCTCATTTCGCATTTATCTTATTATTTATTGTGAAAAAATAACGCTATGTGGTGACTTTGACCTATCAGCCTATTATCCCTATTACCTTGTTTCCTCCACATTTGTGGTGAACCTAATAATTTTCCATATATTATTCCTTTTTTGTCGTTATTTCCTTCGGAATTTGAAACCAATAAAATTTAATTTTAGATATACGTATTATGTTTACCATTTACATTGACGGTTAGCTATCGCCATTTCTATTTAGTTAGGCTCACTCCTTTGGCTATTTTTCCTGAGTGTGATATATTTTTAGCAGAGAGTTTTTGGGGATAGAAATGCAAAAAAGGTAGAAGTAGATCGAGCAGCCGGAATTTTTACTGACTTGTATCTTGTTTAAGGTTTATTTCTCTGGCAAGATGCGAAGCGCGACATTATTGAGCATTTAGAATTTGCTTATAATTTTCATTTTCATTTTCGACGAAAAGATCGCGCAATTTTTCGCAAAATCAATTCGGTTCACTAATCCATTAGCCAAATTCAATTGCCTTAAGCAACATTATTTATAAGAGCACTTCTTGATTTTATATATTTTACTTACTAATCTTTATCAAAATAACAAAATAATTAAATCTGTTCGCAAAGTTAGTTAATAAAAATCCAAATGAAATAGTTAAAGTTGAATTAACTAAAGTTTGCTGGACAATTTAGAAAATTTCTACGAAAAAAATTCAAATAAAAAATTTCACATAATAGCAAAACGAAGCAAAAAATTCTTAACAATTGTTGGCTGAAATTAGGCGAACAATATCAGAAAGTGATTCAATATTTTTTATATTGTAGAGATAACAACATTATAACATTGTGATGGTCCTCTTCAAGAGTAGTTATTGAAATTTGCAATTGTGCATACAATTCACATAATTTGGCTTTTTCTTGATTAGCGAGGTATTTAAACGCTCTCATCTGCACCCATAACGGAATCGTCGAATTTTGCACCTGAAATTCTACTAATTTAAAATCGGCGAAGATTGAAGGAAACTATGGATTATGCAATTTCGCATTAAAGTAATGGAATTATGAGAATTATGTTAATTCAAATAGCTGAAGTATAGTAGAGCCAACGAAACGATTTTTGATAGGGACGAATTTCATTTCAGCAAGAAGGCATCAAATTCGCATTCCGTTTCATGCTTCATAGCTTCAGCTAATGGTTTTGCCGTAGACATCTCGAAATTTCTTCAAAAAACTTTCGGTGACATATTTACAATTTTTTACTTCTTTCTTGCTATAAATTCTTCGTGCTATGCAACTTTTCATGACTTTTTTGAATATTTATTTCTTTTATGAAAAAAAAATTCACAGAAAATCTGCGTTTTCCACCGAAAGTAAATTTACTGGTTCATTGAAACATTATAATCAATTGGTAATCGTGGAATAAATGAAGCGATTTAGCTTTTGATTTCAGCCTTCGTAAGATTTCTTTCGCGTTAGAGAGTTAATTTCGAGGACAACGTATCAATTTCAGAGTCTATGCTGGTTAGCGAGAAAAATTGAAACGATTATTCGCGAAATCTAGACTTTCACCATTCAGAAAATGGTGCACGCATATTCAGAAGCACGCATTATTTTTGATTCATCGATTGCTCCATTGACGATTAAGGTCAAGCCCTTCATCAGAAGATCATTTAGGTGATAGAAAAGCAAGAGAGTAGCCACTCGATTACTAACCGTTCGAATCCTAGTTTTAATGATAAGCCCCATCAATTGTTCCAAAACAGTTGAAAAAATAAACCATTCGATCATCCTCGATAACTGTGCAATATTTCTAGTCGATCAAACTTTTATAAGCTTCTTGTAATTAAGTCAAAATTATGGAGAAAGATGGAACGTATAAACGTTTTCTCTTGGTATTTCTATCTCTATATTTATATGAAGAAAAGAAAATTGCAATAAACAGATCAGGATTAAACTGATGTAAACAGATTAGCGATTACTATTGCTTTTCACCGTAGTTGGACCAGAAACGTTCTATATTCATCTATGCTCGCGGGGATTATTATAATATTTTGGCATTTGGCAAATAACGGCATTAAAATGCAATTTTATGTCGGTTATGAATTTCTGTTCGTAAAAAGCAAGCAAAAGCGAGTTTTGCTAATGCAAACTTATGTTCTCTTCCGCTAGCAATGAACCTTTTTTATAATTATCTTATTTTTCATTTTTGCTTAATTACACTTTATTATTATTAGAAAATTCTCAAAGACTAAGAGAGCTTTTTCTTTCCGATTTGTATTTTCCTTTCATTAGAAGCTACAAAATATCATAAAGTTTTCCGGAAATAACTTTATTTTCCGGGAATATGTTTATCGATTATCGTTTCGTCATTTGTTATAAATAATCTTATTGCCCATTCACTAATCATTTCAATTTGAATTTGGCTAAATTTTGGTTTACTGTGCTATTTTGTGGTGCTACTGCTCTGCTCTGAACTAATATTGTGGAATCCAATATAAAATCACAATCAATTCCTTAGCATCGAAACAGTATGAATTGATTAATTATAGAAAATTAAAATATTGTCGCATATTTCGCCTATTTACATTTCCGTACGATTTATATGACTCATTCGATTGAATTTTTAAATCTTTTTGAAAATAAAAAATAATGAATAAAACTTTATTAATTATAGTTATAAATGGTAATAATAATGGTAATGGTAATGGTAATGGATATTATTTTTCTTTACAAAAATAAAGAAAAATTTTTTTATCACAGATTAGAATCGCAATATTTTAAAGGCAAAAATTTGAAATAATGAAAATTTATCAAAACAAAAATAAGACATCCAAAAGAAGATTTAATCCTCTCCAAATTGTTGCTTCAGTACTCGAAGCTTAGCCTTTCGTTCACCTTTTGATAACGACATGTCTTTCTTTATTGCATAAGCTTTTTCAATATATTCAACTTTTTTCATTAAACCTGAAAGCTATTAGCTTTATTAGTATTTTTATAAAATACTCTTAAACTGATAAAGAAATATTTAACCTCAATCATTATTGCTATTTTAAGATCAGCCAGAAATGATTAAAATTACCTTGATTTCTATATTTGATTTTTTTATATTCATATTCTGCTTCTTCTTCCATCTTTTCGGCTTCCAAGAGTTTTTCATAAACGTTCTGGAAATTTAGTGGCTTAAACTACTACAGCCTTTAATCAGAAATAGGTTTTTCAAATTTTTAAACTTCTTTAAGAGTTGATTTTAAGAGTTGATTTCGCCTTAGTTGTTGGGATCCAAAAAAGATAAATACTTTTAAATTAGATATGTCATTAAAAATTCTTTCATTCTAAAATGAAAATTCATACCTTAACTTCACTGGATAAGGTTGCAAGGATTTCGTCAACTTTCTGCTTAATTTGATAACATGAAGTAGTTTTGTCTTTGTCCAGTACTTTAAGCTGATTTCGTACACCGTTCTCGGTGACCATATCTCGAAGATTGTCAATTTTCAAGGAGCAGCTATTTATTTGGCCTAACATGAAGAAAAAAGAGAATAGCATAGTGAACAAAGCCATCATAACAAGCGTTCTTCTGGAATTATAAATATTATGCACCGATATCATCGAACAATGTATAACTTCTGCACATGGGAACCTATTAGTTTTAGTTTACAGAATTTTTGAAGATAGAAGCATTGGTAATAAAATTTATAGCTACTAAATTATTGCAACAAAAAAATGTTCCTCAAATAAGTATTCGGCCTTCAAAAGCTTCAAAAACCTACCTCTACTAAAAATTTTCTGGAAATTAGGTGAAATTCAATTTTGAACCATTAATTATGCGAGCGATACTTTTAAGCGATGGAGTTTTCGTTCTAATCCTAATAAATATGCATCATTCGGTTTAGTTTCCACTATTGATTATTAAAGAGTTAGAGGACATCAATAAAGTATCGTGTGGGAACATAGGGAAGGTAGACAATGCAACATCAGCATGGCTTCATTTTTTATAACAAGTTCTTTCCTGTTCAGAATTTTTTTTCTAATAGCCGTTGCCTTATCGTAGGCACTGAGTTGCTACTGAATTGCCTGGCGGTAAAGGAGTACACCAGTATGTCGCCCGGATCATTTATTTTTGCGCGGAGTAGAATCCCAAGGAAACCCACTGAGTTGTTTTACCTTATGGCTGAATAATAAAATTCCAATAAGTTATTTTAGCAATTATTTTTTGGAATTATCTTCATAATTTAACTTAATTGAAAATTTTTTCATCGCAAGAAATAGGAATGCTTCAACAGAACAAATAAATGAAATTCGATCTATCAAAAAAATCCAAATTCATAAAAAAAGAAATGAATTATTGAACAAAAAGGCGTATAAATTTGCCTTCCAAATACGTATTTTAATTAATATTTAAATATTTTCAATAAAAAACTTTAAAGAAATTTTTTCTATCCGCTTTAAACTCATTTCGGTTGAAAAAAGCAACAATCGCAACGATAAACCTACAACAAAGAATACGAAGTGAAGATGTATACACAAAACATAAGTGAGAAATGAGAAGGGAATGAACACCAGTTGGACGACCATTAATTACTATTGGACTACAACCATCGGAACAATCGATTCGATAATCATTCGTATATTTTAGGTTTATCGATATCGATAATAAATTTGCGAAAATCGATGAAATTTTGGAAGAAAGTGAGCAAAATTGAACTTAAATAGCTATATTTATGGATAATTCCACATTTTTAACTCCCTCCATAAGGTTTAATTTTATAGAAAAATGGAAATAAAATCGAAACAATTGCAAAAACTAAATTTGTCATTTTTAGATAATAAGTAAAAACTTTTCCAGTAGTTGAGGGAGAAACCGGTGATCATTTCTGAATCAACGATCCCCATTATTAAATAGGCTTTTTTCTATTATGCTGTAATAATTCTCAAGCATTGCTGACTCTATGTGAATCTCTATTATTTAATCACGAAGAAAACTCTTCATAAACCGCTATTCATTTAAATTAATTTTAATCCTCAATTTCGTTGGTTTTTAGTATATTCTGAAATTTTTTTCCAGAGAGTCACTTGGTTGTAGAAATAGAGTCGAGTCATCGCTATGATTCGAATTTTTTAAGTCACTCTTTTTAAAGGTATATTAATTATTTTTTTGTTAATTTATTCACATAACCATTTTAAAAAATTATTTCTCAGCGTGGAAATTTAAACGAAAGTGAAAAGGATGAAAAGGGTTCGAAGAAAAAAAATCTTATTTCTCAGCAGTAATCGTGAAATCGAATCTCCTAAATAGGTAACGATGAAATCTGAAAAAAAGCAATTATGCTAAATATTGTCAAAACACATCCACACAGCAAAAATCTTTACAAAAAAATTCTAATTTAATATATTTATATTTATCGACTGAAGCTTTTTTTCTATAAAAATTTATAACTTTGCTAATTGAATTGCTATAAAAAATTAGTGAAATAAGAATTTTGGTACATTTTATATCTCGAGAAAAACTGGTTTGCAAAGGCAAGAAAATTCCATTTTTTTAAAAAAAATATATTACTTATTTTAATAAATTAATCATTTGTTTTTTTAGTTTGTTTGAAAAAAAATTATAAATTTGTAAATCATTCGAAAATCTTTTATCTTGAAAATTGAGAATAGAAAAATAAAATTTCGGAATGAGAAAAAAATTTTATTTTCAAAATTTCAAAAAATTTTTATCAAAAGAAATTTGAATTAAAATTCAAATTTGAATTTGAATTAAATGAGGAAAAGTTTTTAAAGTCAATAAAACTGATAAAAAAGGAATGAAGTGTTCGAAAATTCTTTTCAAACTTCAATTTCGATAATATATTGAAATAAAACTTAAGAAGATAAATAGAAGATTGCTGAATGGATGGATATTTTATCTTTACAATATCAACAATAAACGAAGTATGTAAGATCAATCAAATCGAAGAAAAAACTAAATGAATTTTCGACTTATCTTTTTTCTTTCTTAACTTTAGCCTATTTTCTCCAAATTATTTCAAAATTTGCCTTATAAATTATAGGTTATAAAGATTGGGGAGGGATAATCGAGTGGCGTAATTGCTTCGTTCTGAGTCGAATATCAGAGCCTGATTCGATCAGAGCCTGACAGGAATAAATTATTTAAAAATCCGGGTAACACTGCCAAATCCGGATCTGTATTTTTGTAGTATCTATATTTTACAGATTTTGTACTTCTCCAATCGCCAACTGAAAAAAAAAATTATAAACCTAGTCAGCAGATCTGGAAATCTTGTAACCGGAAATGTAAATGCTAACCATTCTATAAAGAAAATAATAGCATATTTGTATTTTGCCTTTAAATTTACGAAGGTGATCGGTAGGATTTTCGATTTTCCATTTATATACATTAAAAATTGATTAATTCGCGATCTTCAAAGCAAAAATTTCAAAGGCCTAATATTGTATTAATTCTATGAAAACGAATTTGCATGAAAATCGTAGAAGTTGACATAAACAGTTGACATTTGACATTTATTCCCAAATACGTTCATCATTTATTTGATCAGCTGATGGTTTTTATGTCAATAATTTGATCATCTTTCACAATTTTTTTAATTCTTAGAGAAATATAGGAATTCTTTCTTTCATATTTACCTCTTCTGTCGTTTTTTTATTCAATGAAATGGCCTTTAGAAAAGTGTTGGAATGCGAGTGATTCATTTTACGTATACCAAAATTACCATTTATTTCGCCACAATATTGCGATAATTCTATTTTTAGGTTGCTTTTTGCGCACAAGTCAATAACAATATATTATAATGATAATTAAGCTTTTCTTATGAGCTTTGATTGTCACATTTTAAATTCAAAGAAAGATTGAAAAGATTTCAATTGGAAATTGGAAATGAAATATAAGAAATGAATTCTCGAAAATAAGTGATTGGCTAACATTCACCATTTCTAGTTATGCTAGCGCCGCTGGCTATTAGTTTAGTTTGAAATTTATGTCAGAGAAAATCGCTGGATCGCTGGATGAAAAAAGTACAAAATCGCCAGTACCAATCTGACAAGCTTAATCCTGTCGGGACATAAATTTGAACCTGTGATGCTCGACTTGTAAACCGAAACTATCGTATAGCTTAACCATTACTTTCCATGTTCTTGTAAATAATAACGAATTTATTTTATAAAAAATGACAAAATGACATCCTTTCTGGGCAATTTTCAACGAAAATAAATACGAAATTTAAGCGTCCTATTTACTTGCAACGAGGTAATCTTTTAAACATTTGTATATATAGCAAATAAGCTAAAAGTACGAAGAAAATTTGGTTTAAACTTGAAGTAAAATAATTAAAATTGCATTAAATTTGATTGACAGGAGTAATTTTTGCAAATGACTGATGCCATTCCTCCCAATGAATTTTATACACTAAAAAATATATGCACAGTTGGCGAAATCGATTCAAATCTCAGATTATTTATTTGGTTAGTAAAGAATTAATTGCGTAGCAACCTAACAGTACAAAGCATAGGAAATAATAAGTCGTTTTAATTTTTTTGGTATTTTTATGGTTATTGATTGTTAAAAAGGTAAAACAAAAAGGTAACGATGCACTATTTAGAAGAAATAAAGCTTCAGCCATAATCGTTGACAACTGTTGTTTTCATGAAAAAGGAAATTCCGCGAAAAAGAGGATATTTCGAAAAAGAAATTATCTAAAGTAAAGTAAATGAGAAAATTCGAAACTGTTAATTCGTTTGTTTTAAAAGAATGTTCAATGAGTTACACTGATTTCGAAAAATGCAAATAATTTTTTTCCGCTAAAAATTTTACTCGTTAAACAAATCTGCTATTCGAGCTACTTTCGACGAATTCATCCTATTGATTAACATTGTTATTAAATTAGCATCGATGTGCTACATGTGCTACAACAAAGTGAATCTCGCGGACGCAAACCGTTATCCAACTTTTTTTCCTATATTTTTGATCATTGGAATATTTGGAAAATTCATGAATTGTCTTATTTTGTCATTGTATATAGATTTATAACTCACTGGAATAGATGAATTCGTGTTTACTGCCAAATTATTAGCATTTCTCCTTCCCAATCGCCGCCGAAATCCTCTGTAAAAGTTCGGAGATAGCAAAAAAAGGAATTTTGTTTTGCCGAAAATACTTTTAATTTTCTTTTCCGTTTCATCGATTTGTCCTTGCAATAGTCGTTGCTAAATTTACATTTTACATTTAAATTTTTTTTTGCCATTCTTTTAATCCTCAAAAAAATTCGAAAAAAATAGAAAACATATTTAATAAAAACAATTCCACTAAGTACCATCAGTGGCATTTAAAGGTTGCACAATACTCGATCACTGCTGGAGTCTTGGAACTGTAGTTTTTTTCTACTCTGATGTCGCTTTAAGGACACATTAAGAACAAAATAAACTAGGAAAAATTTATTCATTCATAAAAAATTCAACTGCCAGTGGAAGAAAGTAAAACCTTAGTGTTCTTTATTTAATATGAAAGGAGCGAATAAAATAATAAAATAAATTAGAATTAGACAAATGGATAAACGGCTGTTTGTGCGATTTTTTAGGTGCATTTCATACACATCCATCTGTGTGATTCTCATAAATTATCAATATTACGTTATCGTTTTTCGAAAATTTCGGAGAATTTTTTATCTCTAATGAGCCAGGAGAACCATTTATGTCGTGGATATCTTTTCAATCTGATGTTGCGCTTTTTCGCTTATCTTATTGTGCCTCTTGTTTTATTAAAAAAACAACCTGTTAGACTAAAAACGTCCTCTTCGATAATTTATTACGACTGTTTGGTCCAATAATTTTTATTGGTTACCTTAAGTCGACTTCAACTTTGACTTCAACGAAAAATTAAACATAAAATATAAAAATTAAATTCGAATTCTGAAGTTGCATCTTTGCTTAAATTTTAAATTACTAAATTCTGAATGCTTCTTGGAATTTCTCTATTACCTTGTTTTTACATTTCGTTTCTCTTACTACCTTATTTTTAAATTTCATCCATCCACATCTTTTCCTTTTTTATTTTTATTGAAATTTCTTATGCGTTTATTTCTAAAACTTTAGGTACTCCTTTTATTGTAACAATTCAGTGAAAATTAATGAAGCTTAAATGAGATACTTAAACTGTAGAGGGCGACAATGCCGCTCTTTCTTTCATTAACTATCAGTTAATGGTGATTGCGATAAAATTAAAATTGCGATGAAATTTCGATCGAAGCCATTAATTGAATTTGTGAAAAAAGGCGAAAGTATTTTGAAGATAAATTAAATAAAGCTTTATAAAAACCATACTTTTCAAAAAATTTCTACGCTTCATTTGAATATTTTTTAAATTTTTTCAATCGACTTCAATTGATTTTTTAAATTTTCTGGTTGTTTTTTGATCGCATGTTTACCATATTCATATTCAAAATCATCCCACCTATCTTCGAAATATTTTCTTCAAGTATAAGTATTTTATATTTTTTGCGAGCAAATTTAATACTTTAATTTTTATTCACCTAAACAAATATTTACGTAATTCTCATTTCGAGTCATGAAAACTCTTGAAAAACAACGGCGCATGGCAGAGATTATGGTGCGAATTATTAATTTATTTCCTCGCCTCTGAAAATTTTAATAAATAATAATTGAATATGTTTTATAAATATAAATATAGTGGAATATTTATGCATTATTGCAGAAGGACTGACTAAATTCACATTTATTAATTCACATTTAATTTTAAAAATTTTCAATTATTAATTTTAATTTCCATTTTAGATTAACCGTAAAAGCAAAAAAAATTTATAAGAAAACATAAGAAAATTAAAAAATCGATTAATGAATCAGTCTAATGGCACTAAAATGCTTTTTAGAATACTCAAATCGAATTAATTAATTCTACTTTCAAGCGAAAAATTTATGCAAGGATATGAGTTGAATGAAAAGTTTTTAGCCAATTCTTGTTACACGTTATGCATTTTTATCTTAGAATGCCTAAAGCTGGCGTGTATTCATTGATACAGCAAAATTAAATTACCCATTAAGACAAAATAGATAATTTTACTAGAGCAATTCAGTGATTGTCTAAGAATTTTGAAATATCAGAGAAAAAATTGGCTTCACTGCAAAGACAATGCTTTTGCCTAAGAAGAGCATATATATTTTGCCTGCCCGGATTACGGCATTGGTTTGACAGTGAATTGACGTAGAGTTCATCAGGAAGAAGCAGTGCTAAAATGACAATAAGGATTAATCGTCATATTTAATTAGACTATCTCTACTCGAGTAGAATATCAAAGTAAAGCATCAGCAGTGTTCCATAAATTTTTCTTCAAGCACCAAGCACCATTTCTAATTCAGCTTAAAATACCAGCTGAACTCTATCGTTAGAGATTTATTTGTGGATTCATTTGAAGGGCACGATGTGCAAATCAAGTATAAACTGGTTCATGCATACATGTGCATATGTGCGTCCTTACTACTTCATATCTATAATATTTTATCATTTTATTTCATTCAATATTTGAGCATCACTTTTATTCGCCTGCAAAACCATTTTAGAATATAAAATTTGCGCTAAAAATTGATCTAATAAAAGCCATTTACGACAAAATCATTTCCCTTCATTTTTAATCCTCATTATGACATTAATAATTTCATTTCAAACATTTTGTCTCTGCGAGAAAAAATTATTTAAAAAGTCGCTTAAAGAAAAATTTCCCCTTTAGAGCATTTAAAAGAATTTACTAAGATTTTTTTATTTGGTTTCAATGGAACTTTTTTCTTTTAATTGTTTTGTTCTTTATTCAGAAAATTTTCTTTTTATTCTTTTTTTATATTTTTTTGATTATTTATTTTTGCATACATTTTTATATAAAATTTTTTTGGTTAATGTATTCTTCATTATTGCTATGAATTTTTTACTTAAAATTGCTTAATTGATAAAATGACAAATTAATTTGCAAAAAATAATATGCGTTGAAAATTTTTGCATGAAAAACATAGAAATTTGAGATAAAATAAAATCACTTTTATTCTTCTTCAAAATTTCAAAGAACTTGGGAAAATATTTTAATGAATTTGCTTTTAAGATTGATTGGTTATTACTGAATGGTGACCAAGTGGAAATATTTTGACCACTTCGAAATAACCGAGTAATTTCGGTTTTCAGTTTAAACAGTGGTAACTCAATAAGATCCATCATTATTGGCCATCAATTTTATAAATTCAATATAGTAACAATAAGTTCAATTGAAATTTAATTTTGAAAAATTGATAAAAGTGAAAAGCAAACTTTCGATTTTAAGTATATTCTTGTACTTTAGTTATATTTATATACTTTAATATTAATACTTATAATTAATACTTGAATTTACCATAATAAAACTATGAAACTATGATACTATACATATTGCATTACTACAACAGATTATGGATCCATCCGGAAGATGAAATATATGGTGCAACAACAAAATCTTTAATGTGAATGCGAAAATTTCCTACAAATATTTAAATTTAAATTAGAAACCATTTTTTACTTATTCCTTTTCTTTAACTACGTATAATTATTTATATAATTATTTTTTGCAAAAATATGCTTTTCTATTTTATATTAAAGTATACCTATCGAATAAATTTGTTTTACTACATGTAAACTAATGGTATTGAAAGAATCTTATTTTAATTGATGCAATTTTAAACATTTTAATTTGTCGCAGATTTGTGAGCAAAAGAAAGACGAATTTGACCATCTCACTGGCTACAATTTCCAGTTCAAAATATGAATTTTATTCAACAGAAAATTGTGAAAAATGGTTAAAAAAGTATCTCCTGTATCTTTATGCAACACATGCAATTGGAATGCATTTTGCATCGTTTTTTAGGCCATTTCATTATAGCACTGTTCTTATCACTATTCTGCTACTTGCGAATTATTATAATTGTGCAAAAAAGCATAAAAAAAAGCCATGGTAAGTTTAATATCTACCTGCTGTATTACCTAGCTATATTTATTTATATATAGAAAATTTTTAAATTTTCTTTTAAGCAAAAGGACAGCTTTTGATCGTCATACTACAAACTACCAATCATGGCGCGAACAAATGACAGTTTGCGAACTCCTTGATAACTATGATCCAACAGTTCGACCATCCGGAAGATCACCACTTAATAATAAGAGTAAGCGATATGTCTTAGTACAATTAAAAAATATCTATCGGGGCTAAAGATTTTTCCTTTTTTTATTTTGATTTCTTGGTTATTCAGTGGTAAATTAGGTCAAATTTGGATTTCCTAAAAAGATTTGTCTGGTCTAATAAGACAAGAAGTCTAACCGAAGATAATCAAGTTTAATCGAAAATGGTGGACAATTTTCACTTTTTTACTATCCTTGTGTTGACCGCCATTATTTTCAGGAGGTCCAGTACATGTTTATACAAGTATTAAAATACGCTCAATAAGTGCTATAAGTGAACGAAATATGGTTGATTTTTCGTTCTTTTTTTAAATTTATTTTTTTTGTAATTTAATTGCAGCATAATTTTTTTCTTCGACAAAAGATTTTAACAGATTTTCTAATCACAACGAGTTGGATAAAAATTACATTTTTTTCTCAAAATTGGACGTGTATCCTATTATACCTTTAGTCTTACAGCGAAGAATTCGCAAATTCTCTACGCATCGTTGGGCAAAATTCTTATTAAAAGCACTCAAAGCATTTTAGGCTATTAGAGACAAGTGGCTATTAGAATAAAATATTTCTTGAGAGCCAAAGACAAGCATCGGCACCATCACTATCGGTCTTCAGCACCATTTTTAATTTTTAATAAGCCTTTAAAAAACGGTAGGCATCGAGCCAACGGTAGGCGCTCTTATTCCAAAAGGGAAAAATTGGATAAGAAATAAGAAATATTTCCGCTTTATTGACTCACTGTGACTGTAGTTCTTAAAAAGGTTAAAAATAATTGTATTAATAAACTGTAAATGAATAAATAAATTGTATAAATAAATTGTATTAATAATTAATAAATTGTTCGAAGTGGTGCGACTAAGTTACTAGAAAATAAAGTTCATTAGACAATATATTAGGTTATATAAATCAAAAGAAAATGATATTTGAGAGTGGTCACCAATTAACAAATCTTATTAATAGGAATTTGTTGCGCAATTCCGTTTCCAACAAGAATGGTTCGACGATCGTCTTCGATTTGTCGACCATAGTGATTTTCGAAATTTCGAATTTATAAATGTTGCTAGGGATCAAATATTGTGGATACCGGATACATTTTTCCAAAATGAAAGGAATGGATGGTATCATAACCTTGACCAGGTAATTCAAGGAATTTGGCTTTCGCATTGATTTACCATATTTATCATTTGTTATTTTAGTAAATTGCTATTATTACCATTTGTTCAGTTACAATTATTCGAATATTTTAGGAGAACAAATTTGTGAAAATACGTTCGGATGGAAAAATAATCTACAATCGGAGGTTAATGCCTTCTTTTTCTGTGTATATAAATACATATAAAGTAATTAATTATTTGATTCAATTAAACTAAGACAATTTTTGACTTTTGGCATCTTCGATTTTCAATGTTGAATTATTTTCAATGTTTTGAAAAGATACTTTCTAGAAAATCGAAACTTTATTATTGTTACTGTGTTTATATTTTTTTCTAAATGGTGATTTTTTCCTAACTGAAAAAAAAAAAAAAACGAAACACTGGAAATGTAGACAAAAATAACAATAATGTTAGTATTAGTATTAATAATAATAACAGTGAAATAATAATAATAATAATAGAGAAATGACTGAAAAATGATAAATAATAACAATGAATGCCAGTAATAATAATGACAATAATAAAGAATAGTAATGTAATCTAATAATAATTCTTAAGGCTAACTCTTATTCTCGCCTGTAATATGAATTTGATACGTTATCCTATGGATGTACAAGAGTGTCTAATTGACTTCGCAAGCTGTAAGCTTTTCATATTTCCCACAAAAATTCAATAAAAAATATTATAAGTGTTGTGAAAACTTAAAGTACTATTATAAGCCATTAATTTCAATTCAACTGCTTTCAACATAAAAGCATACAAAATGAAGTCAAACGTGTGTAAAAAATTAATTCATTTGATAAGCACAATTTTTAAAATCAATAATACAATAATTAAAAATTGTAGAATAAATTTATATATATAAATATATATAAATTTATATATAATATTTATATATATAATATTTATATATAATATTTATATATATAAATACGAGATAAGAATCTGTGAACTGATTTTTTTCATTAAATCTTTTGGTGGATTGCATATTTTTACAAGAAAATTTCGCACTTAGATTTATCTTTTACAAGTGATTTATTAATTAGAGATCTGTCTTTAGCAGAGGTGAGTAGAGTCCACTAGAGTAGTGCAGGCGATTCGCCAGGCTTTTTAATGGCAGCTTCGCTCCTGTTTGGAACAGGAACGGAATTTAAGTCATCCCATTTAGATGCATATACGACTAGCGATATAATTTATAAGTGGGATGAAACTGGCATAACTATCGACAAAACAGCCAATGGAGCTCTTCCAAATTTCGAAATTAGTGCCTACAAAAACGCGACATGTGATAGCGTAACCAATACAGGTTAGTCTATTCCCTTTTAAAATTAATTTATCAATTATTTTTTTCGATTTCTGTGATTTCCGCTCTTTTGCTCCATACAGTTCTCTCACAAAATACATGAGTGGACTCGTTAAATTCAAATGCGATAGTTGGCACACTCTTTTACAAAATGGACATCAAGGATGCAGCATTGACATACCAAAATTATTGGCTTCGCTGATTCAGTTTATGCGGTCTTAAATTGTAAAATCGTCAGCTATATAGCACCAGTGCAATCGCTTTTTTTTCCTATGTGACCGTAATGGATGAAAAAACGAAGTAAAAAATCAGAAATGAGATTGCAGTAAATGCAGAAATATGATTTGAATGTAATGGATTATTTTCAGGTACTTACAGTTGCCTTCGAGTCGAACTGAAACTGAGTCGCGTTTTTTCTTTCTTTCTGTTACAGTTATATATTCCATCAGCAATGCTCGTTAGTGTGTCATGGGTTTCGTACTGGATTGACTGGAAAAGTACCGCAGCTCGAGTGCCTTTAGCTATTGTTACATTACTTACGATGATCACGCAATCACATGGTACCTCTTTATGAACACTTCCGAAAAAAATTTCAATCACTTTTAGCTATTTTCATCATCGTTAGCATTACCAAAAAAAATCGAGGCCACTTTTTGCTGTCTGGATTTCTGGCCATATTTCTTACTGCGCCACATTAGCATGTATCATATATCGATCATCGATCATCGATCATGGCTTCTTGTTTTTTTTAATTGTTGGGGTGGTTTTAATTTTATTGTACAATCTTGGTTTCAAAATTTGCATAAAATATCGTCGTTTTCGAGCTCTGGCACTGCATGCAATTTAAACTGAATTCAACAATGGAGGCTGTTCGTAAGATACAAGTAAGCCTTGGTTCGAAGTCGAAAATATAGATTTTGAAGACCCACATTGCGCAACAATTCCAAAAAAAAATCCCTGAAGAATTGTTGGAGGGTGATTCGAGGAGTTATGCAGATTTGCGCAAAAGATTATGTGATAATAAATGGAATCATCTGTGTGCACTGGGTAATGAGAAAAAGCTTGACAAATGGATAACCCACGAAAAATAACTGAGCATTTAATGTAGACACATTTGGATATATATTAATTATTGTTCGGTGTTAATCCGACGCAAATATGACCCATTTTTGGTATAACTTGGTCACTTGCGCTGAAAAATGATTCTGCACGACAACAAAAAAGGATCATCGATGATCAGCTGGACAAAAATGAACCTTCTGGATCCATGTCATTGACTTCACTTTAAGGAGGCTATACTTATTGTTTGATGGTCTTTTGCAGGATTGATCCACTATAGCTGTGGCGATTATAGTGAATCGTTCAGAAAAGAATTGGCAATATCCACGAGAAACAAGGAACATAGTGGTAGCCAACAGAAAAGGTCTCATTCTTCTATACGGCAACACCAAAACATATAAATATCGCCAGAATCACTTTAAAAAAATTGGCCGAGTTTTATTTCGAATTCATCCTCTATTCACTGTTTTCGTTGATCTTTCGTTTTCACTTCTTCCATTCTCTCGGCAGCTTTCTCAATAAAAAATATTTTTAAAAACAGAAGAATTTTGAAATCACCTTCCAGTAGTTTATTGGTTCCTGAAGACTTTTACGCTCTTGGTAGAAATGCTGTTCGTATCACATTGATAAAATTGTATTCACTGTAATTTATGCTTATGAATAGAAATTATGAATAGAAATTATCAACAGAGTTATGGGCTTAAAAAAAATGATAAAACGACCCGGATTGCTAATAGGAGGAACTCTGGATGGAGCTTGCGATTTATCTGTGCTTCTATCTTCCAGTGATTGATATCGTCCAGTAGGGTCAGCCAAACCGGAAATAGTGAGTATTGTAAGGTGAGCAGAAAGGCCTAAAAGTTTTTTTCCACTAATTTTACTAGAACATGAGTTATACATAATTAACTTGATTAGCCTTCTATGATTTTCATGAAACCTTTTCTTATATTTATGTTCATGCAAAAATTTTACTTATAGAATTTAAATGAAACAATCAACTTATTATTATTTTTAGAATTATTATATAGAATTATTATATAAATCTATTATAGAATTATTTTTTAAGCAATCAATTCCAATCTACCTCCGGTCAGTTATACGAAAGCGATTGATGTTTGGATTGGAGCTTGCTGTGGTCAGTTTTTATCAGATTTTATCGTCAAATTCTAATTTATTCTTTGATTTATCTTAATTCTTTTCCCCAAATGTTCAGCTTAATGCAACCATATTGTTGATAAATTCTTTGCAGTCTTCATATTTGCATCATTGATTGAATATGCAGTAGTTAATTATATGGGTATACTGGATGAGCGCAAGTTAGCCTTTTTTTCGTCCATTATAGATTATTATAAGCATATTTTCGTAAAGCTGTATAAGAAACTTTTTGTTTATCATTATATAAATCAGATAAAGGTACTTAATCTATAGAAACTTTACAATTTCGACCAACATGTTTCAGACAAGTACAAAAGGCGACAACAAAAACACGTCTTTCAGGATTCCTTAGTAACGAAACATTTTTTAGTAGCGAGCAAACTCGGGTTAATGATGGAAGAAAGGTAACCATTATATATTGCAAAAATCTAAAAATTTAAAGATTAACTAATAAAATGAAGCTGGCAAACATTAAACTTTTTTTTCCAAATGTTTCTTTCATCTGAACATTTCTTTCTTTCATAGAACTGAACATGAATAAGATGAAAGATACAGTATCAAATAAATCATTGAAAAACATGGGAAATGAGAAACTCTGCAGTTTAAATATTTTTTCGCACCCATCATTTATTTAATGATTGGGATCATTTGATTAACTATTAGTACAGAGCAGGGCAGAGACTTTAGGATAAATGGGACTAACATTATGAACTGCACTACCATTCGGATTTGATTTTTGATAGTCGATTTTTTTTGCCTTAGTAAACAGTTTAAATATTGATAACTTTTTGAAATATTGCTTCCAGAAGTTGAATATTTATTTCGTTGGCGTTCATTTTAACCATTAAATTTTATTGTAACTATAGAGCTTCTTACGTAGAAGGAGAAAACGAAGCTTTGAATTACAAGAACGGATGGAACAACGGATGGAACTTGCTAATTTTGGTTCCTCACAGTTAATGGTGAAGCCTTATGAGCAAATTTGGACTTTTCAAGTAAATTTTACTCGATATTTTAAGCAATTTATTTAAACGTCATGCGAATAATTAATAACGGGAATTATTACTCTATTAGTTTCTTTTCCCTTAAAATCCTTTTATTTTCTCCTGGAGTAGAGATTTTCAGAACACGTCAGACTTAATATATATAGGTCAAAGGAAAAGGGTCGAATTAGTCAAATGGTGTAGTATACTTTCAACAAGAGGACGTGCAGAAAGAATTGATATTATCGCAAGGTAATGCTACCAGCTTATTTACACTTTTGAAGATATTTTATTTTGAAGATATTTTGATCGGTTTGCTTTCGACTGACAACCTGCAAAAAAGTCAGCGAAAATCATTACTGCAGTCACGCAAATAATGGCCTTAGAGAAACCTTCTTGTACGGTTCTCATACTTTTTCCTATGTCTTACGAGAATTACTATAATAAATCTTTGTGTTTCAGACTATGTGTATGGAATATATGTATATTTTGTAGTCATATAAAATTTAATACAACCTTTAATTGAATACATTTATTAGATAAAATATGCGGTTAAATTTTCGCGATTTAACGATCAATTTTTTTATCTCCATTGGAAAAAATAAATTCAAAAAAATTTGCTGAGTGTTCATTTTCAGATTAATATTTCCAATCGCATTCATCATGTTTAATTTTGTGTATTGGAGCATATATTTGGATGATATTGGTCAGAAATAAAGTACGTGACAACAATTTATTGAAAATACCGTAAAAATTTTCATGAATAATGAAATTTGAGCCTTTATTTAAAATTTTAGGAATAAATTCTTTTTTTGCCTCATGAAATGAATGTTTAAAATTATCAGCAATTTAATTATTTGTAATTTGTGAATTAAAATTCTTCTTCATTTAAAAGTGTTCAGCTCATTTCGTCTGCAAAAATTCTCGCTTAATTGGTTAAATTGCAATTATAAATCGATTGCAATTTTAGAAAGACAAAAAGTGAACAAAAAAATTTTCCATTTTCCTCAAAATTTCGTTAAAATTGATTTAAAGGAATCTTCATGAAAGGAGAATTATACACAATTTAATGTTTTTAAAATTCATTGAAAACTTGATTATAATATTAAATAATTTTAAGAACAAATGATTCTCAATGATCGAAGATCTTTAAGGAAATTTGTATGAAATTTGGTAGAATTAGCTTGGAATTACCATAAACAAGTATTTACAAAAATTTATCAATTTCTCGCTTGCAATTTTTGTTTATATTAATTGTTAGCTTTTGTGCAAGCTCTCTGTGTGAGTTTCGATGAAAAGTGGGGAAATCGAAAAAAATTTAAAAAAAATTTGATGATAAAGATGCAAGCAGATCTTCAAAATCACTCGGATTTCATTTTTAATAATGGTTTTAGGCGATTCAAAAAGCTTGATCTCAGTCCAAGGAAAGCATTACATTATTAACTCTATCGTACTAAAAAGTTTTCTTAAAAATGGTGATATCACCAATTCTCAAATTTAGTGTTTTTTTTTGATAGAAAATATGTACGGAAGCCTCGTAATGAGTCGAAATTTGAATTTCATGCGGAAGGCCTACGAAAATATTATTTAAACGATTAATCAAACGATGAACGGTTGAAAAGATTGCGTAAAATGACCGGCGAAATTTTTTTTTGTTTCATTATGTGAAAATCCCTTATTTTTGCCTCGTAAATTTACCTCGGCATTTTTTGATAAAATTGTTTTCCATTGTTTTGTCGCATTATTCCTCTTTATTATTCTTGTTTTATTTATGGTTGTAATGGTTGGAAAGCCATCGATAAAAGGTTGGAATGTTGCAGTGAAAAACATTTTCTCAACTAGTTTCATAAATTTCACTAGAAATTCTTTGTGAATTCTCTGTGAATTAAGATTATTTATAAGCAATTTGAAAGGAATTTTTTAAAATTACTTTACAACTTAATTAATTTGATTATCATCTTTTTCCATAATAATTCAAATAATTTTGAAAATTGACAAATTAAAGTAGTCGAATCGATGTGCGAAAACAATAGTTAAATGAGACGATTGATGACAATAAATAATTTATGACATGGGAAAAGTTCATTTTACAGAGCATAAGCCCGAATTCATTAATTTCAATGATTTTTTAACGGTTATAATTCCCAGTTTTAGCATTTTCAGTTTAATTTTTAGGTTTAATTCAAAGTTATCGGAGAAATTATAGGTTTCTTTTTCACCATTCGATTAATCCCTAAAATTTGAGATGCGAAGGAAATTTAAATGGTGATTTTGTTCGCCTTTTTGTTCTTTTTTGCCTTTTTCCTTTTTTCCATACTTTTACATTTATAAATAAACAATTCATTTAGGAAAAGAGCGATTCATTTTCCATATATTAGATTTAAATTACTATAAATTAACAGCCAGCGAAGTGAATTTCAAATGGATTGCACTTCTAAACGAACGGCTTACAAAAAAACACGCGAATTAGGCGACGATTATGGCCATCACGAATTTTTCATACAAATTTAAAATAAGCTTGAGATATTTGAAACTTTAATTCAGTTCGACATTTAATTAGACTTTTATCAATACTTTTATATTTTTTATATTTTTATACTAAATAATTCGAATACTCTTTCGATTAGAAAGATTTCCTTTTATCATATTTGTATTTTATATAAAATAAAATATTTACGCATTTCAAAACAGAATTTAAAATTTAAATGCGAAAATTATAATTTTTTATGAAATAAGGGCTGATTTGTCGAATAAATTTTTTTGAAACTTTAGCAGAAAAATATTGCATATTTTTAATTTTAAATTAAATAGCAGGAAATAAATGGGAAATTATTTATTGCATCTATGAAGCATTATTAGGAATTTTTTTTGAAAGTTTCTATAGCAACCATGTCGATATTTGTGGCGAAAAGCTATGCTTCATATTGCGCAAATATTAATTTATCATTGATAAGGTCTCGCTTCTACCCATTTCTTTTGATTGGTTGAGCAGTTTTTCGAGATTTAATCTCTTCGAGATTTGGAAGTTAAAACAGCATTCTCAACTTATTTTTTCATCTCCGATTTGCGTACATTTTTTTTATATTTGTATTTTCGACTGAAACAACGATAGATTAGGATAATCTGATTTTTTAGATTCGTCTCCTTGGCCTTATTTAAATATTTTCATTCGGGTTATTTCAGATGTGGTTGAAAAAAACAAGCATCTTTCTCACCTTGAAAAGTACTCATTAATCATAATATGTCATGCCTTTTTCCAATAACTTAAATGACCCAAAGAATTCAAAAAGTTAAATTTGCCGGCGATTTAGTTGTGAAATCATATCTTACGCAAACTGGAAAACAAAATCTACGAAAACAAAATCTATGATTCAGCGCAAAAGCTATTATTCGAAACACAATTGGAAGAATCATCCATGGTTTCAAGTGGAAATTTTATCCAAGGAAACACGATGAAAGTAACAGTTCACTCGGGACAAAGTAAGATGGTAATTTAGCACTCTAGATTTTACGCTCAAAATTAGTTTGTCTCACAATGAACCAATTTTCCCTTTAACAAATGAAAGCTATTCAAAATCTCTTCTTCTTTCTGTTGAACATATAATGTAAGAGAATTCACCAAAATTCTCTTTTCAATATTGTTTAATCGTAGTCAAAGAGTAGCAAGCCATTTATAGCTTTATTGAAAACTTAAACTTACATATTTTGAACTTATTGAAGATTTTGATAACAAAGTGCGAAATTATTTGAATTACTATCATTTGCTTTTTATCTTTGCAAAGCAAAATCGACTGAATCAATTTTTTGAGGCTACTACTTTGCAAGTGGGAAATACAACTTCTAAATCTGCGAAGAAATCCAGGTCAATTTCAGCTGATCGCAAAGAAAAGGTAGTATACCACTATGGTCGTTTTCGTCGTTTATTAGGCAGATTGTATTAAAGAACGATAAATTTTAGATAAGAACGACAAATAAAGAATTAAAGAATTTAGATATGTGGACAAGCTTCGGTTAAGATAAAATATACAAATTAATACTGTCGGGTATTCGCTCTCTCTCTTCGACAGTAGCAAAATAAAGAAATTGAATGGTGCTTGGAACGAATTTTTGTTATTAAATTTAGAAGAATTTAAAGATTACGTGAAACTCATCCATTTTAATTAGGGTGATCAATTAAGAGCCTTCTGCTATCCTTCATTTTTGATCATTTCCTATTTAAACAAATTTCCATCGTCACGAATTGTGTAAAAATCTATTTTCATGCATAAAAAATGTTTCAGAAGCAATTTCATTCGTTTTAATGGAGCAAATTACTAACCATACGGCATTTAACTGCTGAAATTAGAAGAATTATCATAACATAACATAAAAATTCAACCAATTAAATTGGGAGAAAACCATATTTTAATAGGAATTGAGAAGAAATAAATGAAGAAAATTTGATAAATTAAATAATTTATAGAAATTTCAAGGTTAAAAAACAATAAAAAGGAGCAAAATTTAAAATAAGGTTTTAAAATATTTAGCAGAATTCGACGTAAAATTTAAGATTCCATGAATTATTTTAGAATTTTATGAATTTAACTTTCGGTGACAGTGGTTATATATTATATATGTGAACGGATATACAAAATATTTAAAATGTCCAATATTATTTTTATCATAAAATGCTTAAATTCGCCGAATTTTCTCAAATTTGATATGCTTTTAATTCAATCTTAATTCATGCTAAAACATGAATTAAATTTCTCTTCCTCTGTGGGTGATATGGACCTCAATCTCGAGTCCATTGCCAGAGGCCCGAGAATTTGAAGGTTCTACGCAGTATCGTCTTAATTGCTCTTGATAATGCGCTCTTCTGGACAAAAATCTCTAATACTGCTCCTATCTGCTCGAGCCACTTTTCCGCTTTAGAGTTCACATCCCTTAGTGATTCTATCACCACTGGGAACACTCTGGTCTTCACTTATGTATATATATATATATACATATATTTAATTTTAATACTCTTATTTTGATAATTTAATTTCTAATACGCTTCTATTCATTTTTTTGGCATATTTGTAAGAAAGTTGAAAAAATTTTTTAATTTTATATATTAAAAATATTCAGGGAATGAATTTTGAAAATAAGTCATATGAAGCGACGATTTATTCGAAAAATGACGAAAACCGTAAAAATTAAATGAATCTTTCGAAATTTCTTCAATTACGAAAAAATTTTAGTGAATGAGTTAATTATACGATTATTTTTAACTATTTCATTATATTTCTTATTCATATTTAATAATGTAATATTATCTTTTGAAAAAGCAAATCTGCAAACCACTTCATTTAACTGATTAACTTAATCGTTTTTAATTATGAAAATTAATGGTTGGGAATTAACTAATGCTTTCGATTATATTAGAGTTAAACGAATTCAAACGGTAAGTTTTGCCGTAAGTTTTCATTCTTATTTGGTTTAGGACTATGGATTTAATCAATTTTGTGGATTCTATGATCGTGGCGAACTCTTCGTACAAGTTAATTACAATCAAAGTGCGACAGTCCGAAAAAAGTTAAGGTGGTTGATGAACGTTAAATCATTAGATAATGATTCGATTGCTTCATTGTTCATCAAATTCTGCGTCGGGTTACCTTTATTTAAGCAAGTAAGAGTTTTCTATTATATTTAAGTAATCATTACCAAATTTCTTCACTTTTTCTTTTTATAGTTGAAGTTGTAATAAAAGAAATAACTGTTTTGTCCCTTTCGATGTTTTTAAAGAAAATCTACTAGCAAAGTTTATTTTTTCTTTTTGATCGTTCTTTTTGATAAAACTGCTTCAAATCTGGTTTAAATTATTGTTTATTATCCAATTATTATTGTTTATTATTATTTTTTCTTTTTGATCGTTCTTTTTGATAAAACTGCTTCAAATCTGGTTTAACTTATTATCCAAACGGTCAAGGTTAATAATATATATTTTAAAAATTGTTAACTTATCATAGAAATCGAACGGCTGACCTTGCAGAATTTATTTCCCATAAATTGCAATGTTGTAGGTCGTTTTTCATGAATTATAAGAATACTGAAAATCTATGCAAAAAATGGAAATCAACAATGCGCAGAAAAATTTTAATTTTCGAATGCCAGTTCCTTAAAATATCCATTTTAATATTCACTTATATCCATGTTAAATGTGATTAAGGCTGGTCAATTTTTTGTTCAAATTATTGATAATACTTATGATAATACTGTTGATACTGTTTGATGATACTGTTTTCAATGGAAAACAGAAATGTGAAGTGATCTCTCATATTTATTAGAACCTTCAACCAACGACTTCAATTAAGTAAATAAAGATAAAAGTTCCTATAATTATATTCGCATTAAATAATGAGCAAATTTAAGTGGAGTTTTTAGCCTTATCGGTTGATAGCAGAAGAAGGATCTATTGTTATCATTGATAATATGAACGATGAAAAGACTCTAATCGAATGTTTGCCATTCGTCGTAAGTTATTTGTTATTTATTAGAAATATCATATCCTAATCAGCAGTAGTGCTAACCAAACTAGCAATGGTGTGAGCTATTAGAAAAAAGGAAATTAGTCAGTTATTCAGGTTGACTTTCAGCATTTCTGGTTAGGCTATTTTTATCAGCTATTAGCAGGATAAAGCCCATACAGATTTTTCGTGCTAGATTCTTTAGCAGCTCCTTTGACATTCTTTGACAAAAGACAAAAACGTTTGAAGTGATAATCTAAGCAATGACCTTTTGGCCACAAAAATCTAAGCATTTTCGAAATTTTCACTGTAAAACAAACTTTAAAATAAAATCATTTTATTACAAGACAGATTGGACCAATTCGAGCTACATTACAATCTGGCGATCTGGAGAAGAAAAAGACGACCCTAAATCTCTTGGAGAAGATGACCAAATTCGGTTCTTGTGGTCCAGCTTTAGTACCATATTATCGACAGTTTCTTTCACCACTGCGTCAGTTTTTCTAATTTCATCATATTTTCGAAGCTAAATTGTTCATTTTGGTGATAATTTCGATTTCTGAAATTCCTTAACAGCTCGATCTTAGTTAAATTAGTTAAATTAAAGATTCTCAAAAGGTTAATAACTCCATCATCATAAAGAATTTTAAAAATTTAATCGTCCAGTTGATTTTTGGAAGATGAGTGAAATTATATTCATTCTCGATGTGAATGAAAAAGTTGTTGGCAGTTTGCAATTCATCACTTCAAATTGAATGTTTATTGTATTATAAATACTGTCGCATGAACTAAAATGGCGAGACGATTCTCTTTTTTCAGGAGAAACCTAGAAAATTTTGCGTAGATCTTATTCGTTTAATTTTTTAATTTCTTATTCGCAGTCACAAAATTTTGTTGAAACTATCAAATTTCAAGTGTTAAAAGTGACAAGAAAAAGTAGAATAATTTTATAGCGTCTCTTTGTTGGCAGAAATTTTGAGAATGAATTTTACAGGAAATCTTAGATATTCTGGATTGAAGACAGACATTGAATATCGATTTGGGAAAACAGCTGAAAATATTATTGGAACTTTTCTGAACACATTGGAAAGAACTGGAGGAGAAAACGCTTTTATAAATATCAAATATATTATTCCAACATACGAAAGTTGTACTGGAGCAAGATAAAATCAGTTCTTTAAAGTTGTTTGTAGTATAGACAGTTTATCTATGTATACATATATATAGAATTTTTTTCTGAAATATTTTTCGAAGAAATATTGTTCATAACTTGAGTGTCTTAGCGAAATTTTTGCAAAAAATCCCTTTATTGGTTCAATCAATGAAAAACAATGAAATGTGTAGAAAGGCCTTAAAATGCTTAGACTTGCTTCTCTGGCTAATTTTTATCAGAGAGTCATTTGGCGATAGAAGTAAAGCCAGATCACTAGCACCACTCTGCCAATCAGTTATAAAGGTATTTCGGAAAGAGTGAGATTTGTGAGATTAAATGGAATTACCTTAAATGATTTATTTATTGTTTGTGTTCCCAATAATTTTTAGATTTTTTTCTTTCTTTTAAAACCAGAAAAAAACTTAATTGGCAGAGAAATTTGCAAAGCATATAACATAATCTCCTTGAATACCAATATTAAATTCTTCGTAAGAGAACTGGTGAATAGACGCATTTATAGAGAACTAGGATATATATAGAGTCTACATATATAGAGAACTAACCGAATTTGAAAAAAGAAATTCATCTTTAATGAACTGCAATAACTGAGTATTTGTGGAAACAAAAGAACTATTAATTTAGATGAATAAATGATCGTGTATTATCTTCAATTTAATTGATAAGTACATAATGACGATTTTGCAAATATAAAAAATAAGTCGAAATGATCAAAAAACTGCTGGAAAAAAAGGATGTATCATTCATTCATTAAATAATGCCATATTTCAAATTTAATGTCGAAACAGGATGCCAATAAAATTTTAGAGCGAACAACATTAAATAAAATATGGCAACATTGTACGGGCAGGTTTATTATTTTCTTTCTCATCCTAAAAAGTAATCTGGAGAAGGATAATGAATGGAGATTAATTGAGCAATAATCGAGAAACTATGCAAAAGAATAAAGATAAAAAATCTGCGCGATTTGGCGAAATTCTATTTATCAGAACAATGAAACATTTTATACATCAAACAGTTTTAAAAAAAACGAGATGCTTGAGAGTGGTAGTGGTACTTCCTTACAAAATCCCTGGGATAACCAGGTGTTATTTACGAAAAAATTTAAGTTATAAAGGAAATGGCGATATTATTAGCTAAAGAATTTCAAAAAATATGTTTTAAATATAAAAATATTTTTTATAGTCATTACGTAAACTTTTTTAAAATTTCAAATTTCAAATTCCAAATAACTAATAATGTTATCAGAGCGAATAGCAAATGGGATATTTGGCCAGCAATTTTTGTTCAACATTAATAGTTGAACAAAAAGAATTAAAATAATAAAAAAGACTGGCCAAAAGGCTTTAATAAATTAAGTTTATTTTTCAACTCGCAAGTGACAAAGTTTTAAATAAATAAAAAATTTATACCACTTATTCTTGTTCTCTGAACAGCACGTATCATTTCTGGTTTGGCCAGCTTCACTGCTAGAATGAACTTTCTTGTCAAACAGCCACTTGAAGAGCAGATGGATCTTCAGCTTATCTCGAAATTTACCTCTATTCTGGTCTAGTCGCAAGAATCAAAGCCATAATGCTTGACTACTAACGATGCTCGTCTATAGCATTTGTGGATATATATATATATATATATATATAAATTACCAGATTGTTTTTAATGCACCATTTAAATGATTTCAACGACATTTCCTCAGTTTTATTGGAATTTTTATTTGAGATATATTGTTCCACATATAATTATGGATAATTATGGATGAGGATTATTTAGTTGGATGGGGAAATATATAAGTCGATTGATGAGACAGCCAAAAAACACTTTCGAAATTTGCCTTATTTGCTTCACCATAATAAGCGTAATTATTTATTTCATACGAACCACCTATTCTGAAAAAAGGCTTTCTTATGCTAAAGAATTTCGCTGATCGCAACTAAAATTATTTTTTAATAAACAAAATTTATTTCAAACAATTTAAAGATCAATTAAAAATAAGTAATAATAGCCATTTCACTACTTTTCAACAATGTTATGTGAGCAAATTAAGAAAGTAATTTAATGCGTCAAGCGATTTAACATTCAAATTTGTTCCAGCAGTAGTTTCCACAGCTGTGAAGTAATACTGATTCTGATAGAATGGATTGGACTTATAAGAAATATCGCCAACTGACGAATACATGGATGGCGCAATCGGTTTGATAATATCGAAAAAAATTATTCGATCATCAGTAGCTCATTTTATAATTTTTCCAGTAATGCTCTATTATCGATGAATATATTGTAAAATTATTTATGGAACTATTCGTTATCATTTAAAAATTAACTTTTGCGACTGTTCATTAAATTTCTTTTCGCGTTTATTTTCTAAAAAATCGATGAATTTCAAATGAAATTTGCGGCAAATATATGAACGATCGCTTTATTTATGAAAACGATAGAAAGAGCTGAACTGATATGATAATTTCCCCAATCTTTTCGAAATCCAGAAAAAATGAATTCTTCGTTGGTATTTTACATGTATTTACGGATGAATTCCATAAATGTAAATAGTAACTTAATGAACGATTTTAATCGCTGAGCGAGGGAAGAAAAATGTCATTTATTATTATTTTTATCGATAAGCCTGAGTATTTGAAATGTTTTGAAGGAATTTTAATGAATCATTAGAAGTGCTCATGTCATTTTGTTTTTAAAACATTCTCTTCAGAATAAGAATTCGATTCATTTCATCGATAGCAGAAAGAATGATCGATTTTGTACGTCGTTCCTTACAACCTCTCTTACCATTAAGTTTGATTTGATTAGTTATGAAGAAATTGAATCGAATAATCTGTACTAACTTACTTGAATTCAAAGAAAATAACGGTGATAACAGTCTGATCTGTCGCAATAAATATCGTCAAGCAATTTTGCATCCATATATTCCATAATTTTCATTGCTTTGAAAATGATAAATAAATAAAAATAAATAAGCTTTGCTAATGACCATCGTTCTTTTTTCATAATTTCTTGCAGTAGGTTCTAATTCGTCTAAAAAACTTGTTTGGTAAAAATGTATTCTCATTCCACAGCAATCTTAACCAACTGCTAGCATAGTAAGCCCTAGTAGCCCATATATTTATCTTTTTACTTTTTTTTTACTTAATGACTTATTGCTTTGTTATCAAAACTACAAAATAGTATCCGTTAGCCATACTTGAAAGATATTGGCCTTTTTAAGCCATACTGGCATATTAAAATGGTAATTAGCATATGTTCTTATAGGAATCTCATAGGAATAGCAATTTGTCAGCATAACATAATTTTCATTACTAAAAGCATAATATTCTTACAATAATCCTCTTAGCGATTTAAATTTTAAGTGATTTTTTTAACTAATAATAAAATTCTGACTGTGATTGGGGACAATTGTACTTCTATTTCCTTTTGGCGTGAAAAAAATTAGCACTCCAAAAATAAATGATATTATGCGCTAGAACAAAAAGAATTATAAATTACAAATCTTTTTACTTATTGTCATTGCTATAGGGTAAAAATTTTCAATTAAAATGGCTTAAGAAAAAAAATAAAAAACCATCTATAATTTAGCATAGTTTTTCATTCAATAAGAGTTCCTGAAAATTTTAATTTTGATTTTATTATAGAGCCCATCGAAGCTCCATTAAACAACATATGTTTATTTTGGTGCAAGAAAGGTTTTGGAAAACCGGTTGACACGAACTTTTTTAGATAGCTATTTACTTTTTGTTAAGAAGATCATGCATTATGAAGCTTAGGTAAGTTTATTAGAAGGTCGGGGGAAAAGCGAATATATTGGGCTGCTTGCTTTGCTGGGAATGCAATAAAATTCTTGCTCCTGTATTTATTGCAAAATTTGAACAACCGCTAGTAAATTATAACGTCATGGCTTTTCTACAAAAACAACTGGTCGTAAATTTATTTATAAAGATATTTGGCTTGAAATATCCTTATTCGGCAAAATATCTATAGCCAGCAACAATGATAAATTTGTTTTTTGATATTCATTAACAAATTATTTGATTTATTATTTATTCTGCAGCTGAATGTACAGAAAATTTTCCATGATTATCACCTTATTCATTATAGAATATATTTCTAGGAAAAGCAAATGAGCCGATCATCTGTGGCGAAAATGCGTCGAAGATCAAAGGCTTATTCTTTATGAAATATTTGTTGGGGAATACCAGAACTACGAATCTTTAACAGTAAATACTTATATCTGCTAATGTAATAATAATTTCTAATTTCATTTTCTCCATAATAAACTTTTTTTGATAATTTATTGGACTTTTCAATAAATCTGTCAATCTATCCGTAAGGAATTTCTAAGCACATTTATAGCAATCGATTTACTGTTGATAAAAATCGCTAGAATAATTCCTGAATTTATTGATATTAAGAGATAAAGATAAATTTTAGTGGTCTATAAAAGAGCGTAGATTTTTGATGATTCTTCCGCATGTTTCTTAGTTCCATCGCCACCTTGCACTTTATCATTTTTTTTTTCCATTCTTTGTTGAATATTGTGACATGCAAATATCAAATTTTTCATTTTAAGATACAAGTTTGTTCCACCTAGACAAAGAAATCAGTTTAATAAACTGGCATGCAAATAAAAACTATGCGTGCAAAAACTAACTTTACCTAGCAATTTTTCGTTTGAACGTCAAAACTTTTTTTTGTTTAATAATGAAAAATATGCTCACATTTGTCGAAAATAAAAATTTAAACTTTTCCAAGAAGTTGCGGTTAAAATTTTGAGCAAATTTATTTCTTCTTACTCTTTTTCCGATTCACCAGCATCCACCATCCAGTGAGTTGAAGATCGAAGCAAAAGCATTGGTATCTATTACTATGTATTTTAGGCAGAGTCTTTTCGTTGGATATTGATCCTTTTGCAATGTATATAAATTATTATCGTAACAATATTCTATTTGATCAAAGAGATTACAGGGACTTTCAGCATATAAATTGCTCA